TTTCCCTCATGTTGTTCCAAACTCGTAAGGGCCTGTTCACATATCGCGTCTTTTGCGCGCTCAAGTTCTATTTCAAATGTAGGCGCGCGGTATGCTCATAATGGAAGCGATGCGGTCGCAGTGCGACGCGCTCGTTTTTTCCAAGCGCGTCCGCGCCACATGAAGATAAAAATATCTCAACTTTTCAGAATCCCGCAAGCACACCATAGGTCACGTGACAAGAACCAACCACAGCAACGACAGACGCCTCCGGAGCGCAACCGCCCTAGCGCTTTGGAAAAAGGAGAACGCGGTGCGCCTAGTTTTCTACGCGTTTTTAGGCGCTATATGTGAATGGCGCCTATAAACACAGGGCCTGAATTTCGTTTTGGAAAATGGGGGGGGGGGAATCCCCCCTTTAGATGATTCTCATGGGGGGGATTTTTTTTGTTTGAGGGGGAGAAAGGGGGGGCATTTTTTCCAAACAAAATTATTACATTTATCTTGCCTAAATGTTTGCGCTCATTGCATTTTTACAATGGGGTAATATTGTTGTTAAGAATTTACACATCACAAGGAAGCTTGATTTAAATTGTTTAATTAAATTGAAAAAAGTAGCACAAATAAATACAATAGAATAAAGATACAAATAAAGACAATTAAAGAGAAAAGTTTTTGAATAGGTCTAACACTAGTATTCATATACAGATACTGAATAAAGTAATCAAATGGAAAATAACACTGGGTAGTATTTTAGTCCTGAATAAATTAAATACATAGGCTATTAATCCTGATTCCTTTAACTTAAAGCCATCTTTTGTTGTTTTGACAACAAAATTAATGACAGACACATATGGCTTCCGTCACTTTAAGAGCTAGTGCACGGATCCTGTGTTCATTATACTGGCATGCGTTTTATGCTTATTAAAGACAAAACCGACTATATTTAGAGTATAGCCTCACAAAGACCGAAATTGACAATTTTGCGTGTTAAAGCAATATAATCCGCGAAAAATAGTTACTAGCCAGCTGTTTTTGAGGCGGATGTTCTCACGCATCAAGCAGGTAAAGTTAAGCTTCTGTTTATGTTCCCTGATCAATGTTTATATGTGAATAAAAGCCTAAATGCAATCTGTTCATTATATAAAACGATGGTGTCTCTTCAGAAAATATGGACTAAACTGCTCGATTCATATGGACAACATATGGATCTCTTTATTAACTTTTTGAAATTTGTCAATGGATGGACATAAATCGCTGAGATTACATTTAAAATATCTTCATTTGTGTTTTAAAGATGAACGAAAGTCTTACAGGTTTGAAACAACATGAAGGTGAGTAATTAAAACATTTTGGGTAAGCTAACTCTTTTAGAAATGCTAATAAAAATGGCCCTTCAGTCTACGTAATGTGTATTAATTTAATTTAGAAACAATTTATCAATTTAGTAATTCTTTGATCGAATGAACCATAGCGTTTTTAGAAAGTTGATTATTAACATTATTAAGACCAGAATGTTGTCTATCAGGACGCTTAAGATTGCACAATTTCTTTGACATTTCTTTATGTAAAAAGAAAAATCCCACCCCCCGTCACATACTGTTGACCACAGTTTTATGAAACATTTAATCATTTAGCAGACGCTTTTATGCAAAGTAACTTACAAATAAGGAGAGCTAGGGTTGAGTTAGGCAGGTCATTCCACCAGCAGGGAACAGTCCCGGGTGAAAGCGATTATGTGCCTCTTTTGGATGGCACCACAAGGTGCCGTTCACTTGCAGAATGCAAGCTTCTGGATGGCACATAGGTCTGGAGTAATGAGTTTAGGTATGGGGTGCAGAGCCAGTAGTTGTTCTGTAGGCAAACATCAGTGCCTTGAATTTAATGCAAGTGGCAATTGGCAACCAGTGCAATTTTGCATAATGCAACAATGCAAAATTATCTTTTCAAACCAAACCACAATTCATAGATATCATTGAAATTTGTTGCACTCTTTGCAGTCTCCCACATCTATGAAGCTCTCTTATATTTGCACTTTATGTAAAAACTGTTACAGGATTCATAAATCTTAAAAACAAACAGAGCTCTCTGTCATAGCTGTCAAATCATAACTCAATTCAAGCATAAGCAGAGATGTTGGCAGTTCCTCGAGGATCAAATTACACAAAAAAGGCCTTTAGCCTTAATTCTTGCTGAACTGAAGTGAAAAAAAAATTTAAGATTTTCAAAATAGCAAATCCTTCTGTGTATCTAGCGAAAACAGCTTTAGTCATGCACTCTGGAGAGCAGGGAGTTAGTGTGGATGGTTCATCTCCTACAGTGAGTCAGGCCTTTACACAGAACTATGGCACTAAAGCTGAAGAAGGCCAGTCAATGCAGGCAGTGTTCAGCCTCGGACGGGCGCCATATCCGTAACCAGGCGGCCTCATACAAGCTTGTGTTTTCAAAGAGTTCTTTAGACTATGAGTGCAGATCCTGTTGGGCTTCGAGGTAAAAAAAAAAAAAAACTGATCGCAATATCATCATTTAAAATCTTAACGTTTAAATTTAGACTAATGCAAACACCAGGATAAACGACTTAAACTAATGCATAAACGCAGCAAGATGAGAATCCTCACAGTCTAAATGAGTGTGCTTCATGTCAAACAACCTAAAATGTTTAGGAACAATTCAGAGTTAAATGTAATTAGTGGTTATTGGGCAGATGGCATATATGCCTGGTAGCCTAATTTTACCATGGTGTATTGGCTGTGGCAGTCACACAGGAATCAACACGCTCGTTGGTTTTTGCAGCACTGTTATGCAAACGGACGATTGGGCCAGGACTTGCCCTCACCCACAGTAAATACAAGGCCTCCGCCTGCAGATCTGATTTCTGCAGAGAGGACTGTGGCAGTTTGCAGAGGTGGTGCGCTCAAAGCCACTTGTTGTTCGCACACATGCCTGTGTCGATACATATGTTCACCGGACATAGACCAAAAACGGACACACACACAGGCCACGCATTTTCCTTTGTATAGATAGAGCACCATGACTAATCTGGAACTTTGACCCCTCGTTATTAGGACAGTCCGGAGGATCTGAAAAACATTTCCAAGTGGCCCATTCCTCCTCTTGAATTCAAACCCTCAATGCCTTACTGACAAACCAAAGCTTGCAGAACCCCATTCACTGCAATGCTTGATTCCAAAGCTAAGCAAAGTACATAGCCTTCAAACCACGGAACGTTTCACTATAGCACTGTGAACTCTGTTTGCAGACTTCCACTAGCCAAGCACAAAAACAATAGTGTCTACTCATATTAGCTCTGTTCTAAACCTAGTGAGTGACCTCGCTGTCTACTGCCTACATGGGCCGCACCTGAAATGGAATTTCAATACAGTCAATGCAAGTGAAATGATTTGAATTATTTTAGTTGATAGATTTTAGTATCTTTTTAATATATGGCATACATTACCATACCAAAATTTGGGGTCAGATTTTTTTAAAATTAATACCTTCATTCAGCAAGGATGCATTAAATTGATTAAAAAAAATGACAGTACAATTTTTTATAATGTTACAAAAGATTTCTATTTCAAATAAATGCTGTTCTTTTAAACTTTCTATTCATTAAAGAATCCTGAAAAATATTAAGTAGTTTCAACTGTTTTCAACACTAACAATAAGAAATGTTTAAAATCAGCATATAAGAATGATTTCTGAAGGATCATGTGACATTAAAGACTGAAGTAATGGCTGCTGAAGATTTAGTTTTGTGATCACAGAAATTTATTTTTTAAATATATTAAAATAAATTGTATTATTTCACAATATTACTGTTTTTACTATATTTTTGATCAAATAAATGCAGCTTTGGTGAGCGTAAAAGACTTTTCAAAAATATGTAAAAATTCTTGAAAAAAATCAACCAGACTTGAACAGTAACGTTTAAATTCCTCTCATTTTTTCCAGCATTTTGGAATTTTGGCTGCATGAGACTTAAGACTTCATGAAAAAGAAGTTTCTTTGGAAGCAGCATTAAGTTGCCTACTTTGCCCATGATGCCTTCAAATGCTACCCAAAGAGGTTGCTCACTAGGTTTTGGAACAGCTATTATGTGCATCTTTTCTGGGGGAAAAAAGTTTTTAGAAAACATCCTGACCCAAGTATATTTGCATCTCATTATAGGATCGTCATCGCACTGCGTTGTACAGAAATCAGCATAGAAAGGACCCGACAACAGCAAAGGATCAGATGAGAAGCAGACGACTGCCTCCTAATTTTGAATGTCTGACAGATACCAAAGACAGATTGTGTGGCCTGATACAGTAACAAATAAACTTAAACAATGTGCCTCACATTATTTGAAAATATATATTGTATTTAGCAAATTTGTGTTAAAACCGAGTTTTTAATCGTTGCACTGAATGAATTATATTTATAACCAACATTTCTGTCGCTTTTTTCACTGAGCTCAAAAAGCAATGCATTCTTGGATTGTCTTCTCCATGAAGGATACATGAGATGCTGCCTTGTAATTTAGTTTAAAAAAGGTATCTTCAGGCAGTATAATTAAGCTACATAACTTTCAAACTGTCGGAACCGTACCTATGATGCCATAAAATGCTGCCTACAGAGGAAGCTCACTAGCTTTTTGCATGTGATCGAATGGCAACGATCCACTTATTAAAGTCAACATGAATGAAATGGCTTCTCAAACTAGTAAAAATGTAGGGCGGGATTTGATTTTGTCCATCGGGAATTAATTGGATCGTTGCATGGTTGTGGTTTAGTACTGCTGTGATCTTATGTGAGTGACAGGTTATTCCCCCTTCACGCAGAGAAAACATCATCAGAGAAGAGAAGTCGTCGCAAGATGGAGACGAAGTTATTTTGATTAAAGATTAGGGCATTTTTTTTAATAATGATGTGCACAGAAAAAGTATTTATAAGAAAAGAATTGTAATTTTGATTTTAAGGAGACTTTAACAATTATATTCAAGTTACATCCAGAGACCTGCTGGCTGTGTCTATTGTACCTGGGCATGGGTTGGTGAGAGTTTCCTGGGGCCGGCTGTCCGGTTGGGCTCCATCTGAATGTTTGGGCGGGCTGGCACTGTGGCTGTGGTCCTCCTTGGACATCTGTTCTGGAGCCAGGTGCCAGGCGACTAGAAATTACCCTGCAAAAGAAACACACAAAAGAAATCAAGGCTCAAGCCTGCGAACACACAGCTGTCCATGTTCTCACTATCACTTTTCCCTCCTATTGTTCGGCTCATGTCAGTGGGCCAAAGTACTACTTAAAAACACCAGCGGCTTGGGAAATAATGCTTGGCAGAAGAAGAAGAGATGGCACAATGAAGCAGAGAAACATGGTCAGAAACGATATGATGCGCCAAGATACTAATTTCATGAAACAAAGAAATAAAAGAGTCCGAGAAATAAACAATTTTGACACTCATACCATGGCATTCCTGTGGTGAACATGCTATTTCAAGAGTTTCTTTAATTAAAATGTCATGTTCTGAATGAATACATTTAATTTCTTAAATTAAGGTCATGTAGGCTACTTCAAGACATGATAAAGTTACTTCGTGACTACTAAAAACTCCACTAATACGAATAAGGATAATAATCTTGAAAGAATCACGACTCACGAGCAGCACACAGAATAACATGACTGTTGGTTTTCATGCTGTGGTTTGTCTGTGGCGAGTCTCTGCACGCTCCTGCTAAAACTCACTCAAACCTGTTGAACGTGTCCACAGTTCACTTTATAGACAAAACTGAGAAATATGTCAAGCAAAACAGTCCAAATGTCTTACCTGCGATGGTCACTCGGTAAAAGTGTGGTTTCAGTGATGCATCTTTTAGTGCTCGCGCAAAACAAACTTTCAAGAGTCCCGTTTCGCGGGGGAAAGTATTTTCTTTCTCTTCATGTATCTCTCTCTCTTCAAATTTTTGAGTTGCTTTATTGTTTACATTAAAGTTGACACTCGTTATTCCTCATTTGTTAATCTCGACCGTTATCTCCAGCGTTGAATAAACGAAGAGAGTTATAATCGTCTTCAAACTCTCCCAGAGCCAAGAAACTTGACAGAAAACATAGTAAAGTGGAGTCTTATTTTTTCACTGTACTAAAGGAAGACCAGAAATAACCCGTTATGAAAAGTTTTTTTTTCCTCTCAAATCCTGCACATGTCCAGTAATAATGAAAGTTGTTGAGGTCGCTCTTCAGTGTTTTCACCTCGCGCGCTGTCGCTCAGGCTCAGGACTCTCGTGCAGAAGGAGCAGCAGTCGCGCACTCAGCTCGAGACTGTTCGACAGGAAATGACATTGAGGGCTGATTACTCCTTGCAGGCAAGATGCCTGTACTCTACAATTACACTGATTACACTCTCTCCAGGACCACATAATATACAAAAGCATGTAAACAGAAATCAGAATAATATAATATAATATTTAATTATACATATATAATTTTTAATATATACATACGTACACACATTGTATCAATATGTATTGCATGAGGCTTATTCATTTCACTTTTGGTGTGAAAGGGCCTTTACAGTTGCCAAAAATATTACTTTTATTTATTTTTTTCTTATAAAAAAAAAAAGCAAGCTCAGCCCATGTGAGAAAAAGTAACCCAAAAGAAACATAACACATTATTACTCTCCACAAAAAGTAACGCAATTAGTTACTTTTTTAGGGAGTAATGCAATATTGTAAACTTAAAAGTAACTTTCCCTAACACTGGTTTTAAAGGTCAGCATAGTCCATTGTTCAGTTGACATATTGTTATGAAAGCCTGAAGGCACAGAACAGATACAAATCATAAGTACAACTGAGATAGAAGTTTTAAATCAGTGGCCCATGTGCCATCTCTGCAAGTGAAGGTTTTTTTTTTTTTTTTTTTTGCACAGGGGGCAGGAATGATTTTACGCATTCCAATTTATATTAATTTGTGTCCGTGTCAGGCCTGAATTCCATGTTTATGGTTCTTCTCTCTCTCTCTCTCTCTCTCTCTCTCTCTCTCTCTCTCTCTCTCTCTCTCTCTCTCTCTCTCTCTCTCTCTCTCTCTCTCTCTCTCTCTCTCTCTCTCTCTCTCATCTCTCTCTCTCTCTCTCTCTCTCTCTCTCTCTCTCTCTCTCTCTCTCTCTCTCTCTCTCTCTCTCTCTCTCTCTCTCTCTCTCTCTCTCTCTCTCTCTCTCTCAGCAGCTTACGGCAAATGCTTTGCACGTGTAAAGGGAATATACACGTTGATACACTCCAATTGTGCATTTTGCTGACTTGAGCTCTGTGTATGTGTCATACAAACTGAGATGATGGAATCAATTAAATGTTGATGACTGAGTAAGGTGTAATGTCCACACCCTCAGCCACTACTAAATCCAAAATGACACTCATTGCAAATAACATAGCACTCCCAAAACAGCGTCAGACACTCATTATCCTCTGCCAATGTTTGTTGACCAGTCCGGTAGTATGATATTCAACCCTTCAGGTTTGTGTCTTGGTAATTAACCTGACATTTACCAGGTGCCACTCTGCTTAGTTTCTTCTCTCTATGGCCTAAGGTTGCTGTGGTCCTGAAGGCCTTAATCTACTGCATGGTTCCATGGAGACATGAGATTTTATGCTTTGCATGCTTAAATGTGGCCCAGATATGGTCTAACAGTGCTTGGCCAAGTATGAATTGTTAAAGGGATAGCTCAGCCAAAAAAATTAATTTCTCTGATCGGTTTTGACTTTCAAAAGAAGATATTTTGAAAAATGTCCATAGAGTGAAAGTCAGTGGGGTTCATCAGTGTTGTTTTGGACCCCATTGCCTTTCATTATTCGGAAAAAAATATTCAGTGTTCTGTAAAAGAAAGAAAGTCATAGAGATACAGGTTTTGAATGTCATGAGGGTGAGTAAATAATGACAGAATTTTCTATTTTTGGTGAACTATTCCTTTAAAGGGTTAGTTCACCCCAAAAATAAAAATAAACAATGTCATTATTTAATCACCCTCATGTCGTTCCAAACCCATAAGACATCCATTCATCTTCGGAACACAAATGAAGATGTTTTTAATGAAATCTGAGAGATTTCTGTTCCTCCATTGACAGCCTACACAGCTACCACTTTCAAGCACAGACATCATTAAAGTAATCCATGCGACTCACCTCATTTTGCCACTTTATACACAAAATATTAATTTCCAATGGTAGTTGCGTAGGCTGTCAATGGAGGGACAAAAAGCACAGATTTCATTAAAAAGATCTTCATTTGTGTTCTGAAGATGAACGAAAGTCTTACGGGTTTGGAACGACGTGAGGTTGAGTAATAACAGAATTTTCATTTTTGGGTGACCTATCCCTTTAAGTGCTTGACTAATGCATAATTCCATGATTATAGGTTATTGTACATAATAACCATATCTAGGTCAACTGCTGGAACCTGGATAAAAACTGAAGTGCTGACTAAGTAAATGACTTCCCATAATATTTTGTAGTGATTCATCAAATAATCTTAAAGCAGTCTGATATGTCCAAGTGTTGGTATTGGCCCAAACAATTTGTGATAAGATGTTATCGATAAGAAGATAATGTGTTATGGTTTATGAAAGTTTTCATGTTACAAAAAAATTACAGTAGCATGGTTAATGCTAATTTACGAGAACCTCTCCAAGATAACAGTAAGAAACATCGAGTCGCACATTCCTCATGTCCAACAGTGTTTTTCTCTTGGATGTTATTTTAAACGTTTGACACTGATTGTTTGTAGCGGAATTGAACATTTTGGCACGGTCGGTGAAGGAGAGAGGGATGAAAATGTGTTTCTAATCACTCACAAAGATGCCTTTGTTCTCCTGTCCGTGGCCTTCTGTAAGCCAGCGGTCTGGGCTGAGGTATTCTGTCAGAGCCATCTTAATTAGACTCATTATGTAGCATTGGAGGGTGCAGGATATACTTAAATGAGTGTTTATGTGATTTATCATTTATCTAGGTGGATAAGTGGTGCGGATGGCGTATTTTGACACTCAGTAGTAGGTCATTGTGTAAACAGTATCAGTCAGTCTTGAAACTCAGAAAGTACCTGAGTTTACTGCTGTTTCAACAGAAGACAACACATTTTTCCAAAACCTTTACCAAACTGAGTGGCCAGTGTAAGTTTCCTGCCTGTCAAACTCTGGGAGAGAATCTCAAAATACTTTAATCAAATAAAAATCGAACTTTCCCGAAAGCGACCACTTTTTCCACCTTTTCTCTCAATATTGCAGCACCACCTCTTCAAAACGGGGTCCTGTGCGTTTTAAAGATAAGCTTTCAGGGCAGATTTCAAACGAAACGCAGAGGGGGAAAAAAAAATCAGAGAACCTGATCCCGGTCTAAATGGGTTGGAATAACACTCTCCACCCTGTCTGTATGTCAGTGAGAGATTTTCTCAGAAGACTGAAAGGGCTCTCTGACTGGGCCTGTCCTGTTATTTTCTTTTTCTTTTTTTCATTCTGTCCCATTCATCTTTTGGCTGGTTTATTTACCCCTCCTGGTGGACAGAGCCTGTAACACAACAACAAGACTATCACATGGACACACTTCTGTAGAGTTTGAACACATGACTATTAATGTTGTCAGCCTGCTGGTCAGAACAAACCTGATGCAATGCCACACTCTCAGTCTGAGACTGCAGAGCTAGTAGACAACAATGCATAAGCAACAGCAAAAATCTTTTTTATGCTAGTCAGTTTATGCTAGTCATAATGTTTTTTGTTTTTTTAAGATTCAGCACTATTTCTAGGTCAAATAAGTACATTAGTGTCTACAGCTTACTCTGCAAAGTTTAAAGTAAGTAAGAGAAGGTTTGTGCTCATATTAAATATGGACAATAAATGATACAATCAAGCGATTAGCTGGATGCCATTACACAAAGAGGTCATTGCAGGCATTAGCCTATTACTCAACGTATAGATGAAGCACATAAAGACACAACCACTTAAGTTTTTTTTTTAATATCATCAAATGGACAGGGCCATGATGTTCCCATTCCTAAGTTAGTTGGAAAGGCAAGTGCTCTGTATACATTCCACTTCCTTGAAGTTGAGTTCCCTGCTTTCTGGTTCAATCACCCACTTTACACCAAAGTCAATGTGCCCAAGTGTCACATGCATTTTGGATGATTTAGGGGAAGCCACCTCCCTTGCTTGCTCTTAATTGAGAGCACATTTTGTACACCTCACACAACGTTTTGTAGATGTGTCTGTATGTATGTGTGTGTGTTATAGAGAAACACCATACGCACAAGCTCCCAAAGCGATTTACTTGCCATAAATTAAAATGTGTCAGTCTACTGTACTGAACATAATAAATCCAATAATATATTTGTTAATTGGATATTTCAGTGGGAATTTCCTTTTGGTCTTTTTAAAATAAAAAGGAGGATATTTTCATTAAACAATACTGTGGATAATAATTATTAATAATAATAATAATAATATAATACTTTAAGGGATAGTTCACCCAAAAATGTTTTACTCGCCCTCAATTATTCCAAACTAAGTTTGGAATATGGGGTCCATCAACTCTTAGGTTACCAACATTCTTCAAAAAATCTTCTTTTGTGTTCAGCAAATCTTCTTTTGTGTTCAGGGTGAGTTAATGACAGGATTTTCATTTTTGAACAAACTAACGCTTTAATGTAAACATCAGTGCATTTATGTTGTAAAAAACAAACAAAAACAAAATTCCTTTGTGACCTAATTCATGAATCAGAGGGTTATTTACAAAACCACATTAATATGTTAATTTTAATTAAAGTGTTAATAAAAATAGAAAGGAACTTACAATGCACAGCCTTAGACAGTGTAATAAGTATTTTTATTGCATTTTATAATGCCATTGTCAATAATTAGTACAGATTACATGCAACTAGACCTACTGTACAGTTTTTTATTGTCTGCATGAACAGACACAAGAAGATTCAGGTTACAAATACACAGATATATGTGTTTTTTTATACAGCATGAAGAAAAACGGCAGTGACTGGCATAAACATGGTCACCGGGGGTTAGAATGACAAAGGTGGATGGCTAGTTGCCTTTTTTTTTTTAATTTCTATACCATTTCAAAAGCCACCACCTATTCTTCCCCCAAGTCTCATCTGAAAAAGCAAAACAAATGTAAAAAACAAAAAAAAAGAGAAGTAAACAAGTTAAAATGAAACTAAAGTACATAGAAGTCACTGCTGAAAATGTACACACATTCGTAAAAATACAATGAGAGGAGAGTCGAAGTGGTAGTTCCATTTGATTGGCCGAAGAAGTTAATACCATCAGGCAAAAGCTCCCCTGTAGGGGTCCTTTACTTAGAGAGCGGCATCTCAAAGCTATTCATAACCGGGCAATGGAGCTCTGGGTTGTAGGGTGGATAACCGTGAAATGTAAAATACCGCTGTCACCTACGCCAGCCATTAGTTTGGTTACAGTTGTGGCAAGACTTGATCGATTTGGAATACAAACGTCTATCCACAATCCCTTTGGTGGTCACTGCATTTCTAAAAGCCTTTTCACAATCTTATTTGGTATGCTACTGTGGAAAAGCCACACCAAGTTCACAGCGAATGGCAAACAGTGGTCGAAAATAGCCTGCATGACATCATGTGCCATGAGGGTGCAGAAAAGTCGGAAAATATAAGGAAGACGCTCTCAATCGACATAATCACCCAGTTATGCTGAAGAGAGCCAATCCATGCACATTCTCAGACTTTCTGTACAGATCTGGAGCGCTATTGCCTTATGAGAGACAGCTTTGAGTGCTCATGGTAAATATGAGTTGACTTTAAAGGGAGTCTGTACACATATTGGCACCTAAAGGACCAATAATTAACAAAAAAACACCTTAAAGTTGCTCTTTCTTATAAGCAAGAGAGGGCTACACATTTTTTCTACAATGTTTTTTTTTTCTCTTTCACTGTTTTTCTGAAGTTTTGGTCCTGTCTTCTGAGAAAAGTCCTTCTGAGGTATCATTACACAATGAGTTCAACTTTTTAGTTTGTTTTCTCTCTTTTTTCCTTAAAAATGCATAAATGCACTACAGAGACAAAAAGTATCAAAATAGACCTAGCTAAGATAAATATACAAACAGGTGTGTTACCTAAACCACTTATCTAACTCTTAATCTGTCTTTTTTCGAGAGATAATACACAAAAAAAAAAAAAAAAAAAAAGAATCATCGTCCCAGACGTTTTATGACAGAAAAACTGGGGGAGGGGGGAGGGGGAAAGGAAAACAAAATTGAACCATGATACCTGCAGCACATAATATGATAAATACATACACTTTTAGCATAAGCAATACAGTATAGGAATTCTGAGCTCAAAACTTTACAATAGCTAAAAAACAGGTGCGGAAAAATAAAAGCCAAAAGAAAACAAGTAAATGAAACACGAAAAAGAGGGAATGCCCTTGAGAGCAGCTAAGCCGAACGGTAATATACAATAATACATCATTACAACTCGCGTAAAAGTAACAAAGGAGTCATGGCGATCACCACTGATGTGTTTCAGTCCACATCTTACAAAACAGCTTTGTTTACACATGTACCTTAAAGCACAACTGTAGTCCATTTCGTGAATGCAGCAATTCATTTGTGAGAGTTTTTCAATTCCTCCGCAATCCTCAGTTCTTGTAGCACAAGCTTGATGCTTCTCTTTGGATATTTTGGTTTCGTCGTGCGATAAAAATAAAGGCCTGTTTTACTAGGAGCGTGATGATCTCTCTGGGATGGTGTGTGTGTGTGTGTGTGCTATTTTCTCCACAGCCGTCACGAAGCTACACTTTGCATTAATTGGGAAGCGGGGTCCGTGCAAGAGTGGCCTGCGTTAATGCATTCTGCCTATCATCATTTCTGACACCCAACTGACTGGCCCATTGAGTACGCTCTAATGACCGGCCAGCTCGATGGCTCTCATTGGCCTGGCCTCTCATTATGCATGTGGAATTAAAACACACAATTAAGCCTCCACACAGAGGACCTGTACATAGACACTATGCTAATAGATCACTTAAAGTGGGGAATATGTGATTTGGAGTAGACCCTTTTAAATATGTTGACGACTTAATGCTTCATACTTAACAGAACTCAGCATTTTTTTTTCCAGGAGGGGGTGGAGAGGTAGTCGTCTTTTTTCCCCGTTGTGTCTCGTTTATTTGTTTCCATTCATGCTAATAAATTTGGAATCGAGAGGAATCGAAAAGCTACGTTCACAGCTATGCAACAAGAATCATATTTTGGTTTTTCCGACAACGCACGTTTTTTTTATTATTATTATTTTGTGTATGAATGAAAAACTAGAAGGGATTTAAACCTTTTGAATGACTACAGGTGACTTTCATTGGCCTATCTATTTTGTGAATCGTTTTCAAAAGGAGGTAGCATTATTTTTGGTTTTATTTCTTTGTAGGTGTTTCGAAGGTGTGTATTAAATGAATACACAGGTCTCGCGTGACCAGGTACGTCAAAGATCCTCCAACATAAAAAAAGTTGAAAAGAATTACTTGAACAGTACTTAAAATAATTCCTGTTGTGTTTTGAAACGATCTGAGTCCCTATCAGCCATCCCTTATTAGTGTGGTAAATAATACTGTTCAACAGGCAGGGTAAGCACAGCAAGCAAGTGCTTGCCTGCTTTTTTTTGGTTTTCGTTGAACTGCGTTTTATTGTGAAATACTGGTAATTGAAGTAAACCATAATGCTGAGTAATTGCTGCTGGATTCTAGAGTCACAAAGTACATCAACTGTTATTCAAGTGCCATTTGCATGTAAAGTCCTTTGCAATCTTAGACGGTGAAGACTGCGTTCTCAACACTGCAATCGCCTGAGCATAAGATGGGGTAGAGAGCTTCCTTTCTCAGATCGTAAGTGCTTTGTACATTAACTAAGGAACTGCAAGAGGCTTGTTAATACTGCTTTTTTTTGCTTTTTGTTTCCTTTTCGGTTTGTTTTTTGGCCTTTAAACATATGTAGTGTTAAGAACTCATTAGGTTAACTTATATTAAAACAGTTCTCTCCTTTTTTAAACAACAACAAAAAATTTGCATTTTACACTTTGGTTTTTGGAATGCTCTGTAGTGTCAGTGAGTCAAAAAAACAAATGATTTAACTGAAAAAAAAAGGATAAATTAAATATTCAAATGACGTGTTTGTGTTCTTTTGGCCAGTTCTCTAAGAAGAAGAAATGATAAATAAAAAAAAAAGTTTTTTTTTTTTTTTTTTTGGTTTACTAAATATCTCTTTGGTTACCTGTAACAAAAGTAAAATGGGGAAAAAACTAAAAAAGCAACATATATTAAATTAAAACTCGAAATTTGGCATGGCACTACTGAGAAAAGTTTTTTTTATAGTTCAGTGAAAGCAAAATCTCACATGCTAATCAGACACTTTCTACTCACACAGTGAATTGCAAATAACTTTTATATATCTAGTAACTATAGAACTTTGAACTGATAATGAGAGAGTCACTATATTGGTTAGCCACAGTACAAATCCCCTTTGTAATAACAGCGAGAGGGGGCAAACACTGTGGTCTGAGGTATTCCGTGACCGTGTTATCTTTTACGTTAAAGCAATATTTTGTATCGCAGCTGATATCAACTGGATACTACAGAAAACTCTGAAACGAACGAAGGAAATGCCGCAAATCTGGGAAAATAAGATAAAAAATTTCGAAATAAAAAAAAAATGAAGCAAATTTGTGAAAAAAAGAGAGATATGAGTGCCTGTAAAGTTTTTCATGATCTTACAGGGAGCCCTGCAATGCGTATTCCACCTCTTTAGTTTCAGCTTCTCTCTGCTATAGAAATGTTTGAGTGGTTTTGTTGGTATTTAACGTTAGATTTCATCTGTGGTTCTGTTTCGGAAGTTTTCACTTAACGCTAAGTGCTATCCTCATTTACGTATGATCTAACGTTAGGATAAGTTTTTTGGGGGTGGAGTTTGTAGAATAAGGATTTTGGAACTTCTCTCCCAAACGTAACCCCTATTTGGAATGATGATTTAACAAAACAAAACAAAACAATCATTAACAGAAGACATATAATAGTTGAATTACATCACAATGAAAAATGTTGATCCTTAAAGAAATAAATGACTATGAAAGTAAAACGAAATCGAAAGCTACTGCACACATATTATAATCAACAATACAGTCAATAAAGTCTCTGAGCCGGTCCTCCACAAGCCTCATGTCAGTCTGGCTGTCATAACAGCACCACAGGAGAACAACAGAAAAAAGTTCCTTTTCCTGAAATATGCCTTTTTTGGGGGTAGCAACATTTTCTACGTTTAGTCTGACAAAGAGTGAGGGGGAAAAGCACGTTCTGGCAGATTCTTGTGGATACCATCAGATGAAGATAAGGACAGCGCAAGCATCTGCGGAGGCTAACACACTGCCTCGAGACAGAATGTGTCCCCTGTTTCTCCAGTCCAGTCATGTAAGGGAGACGAAAAAAGAAAAAAGAAACAAAGGAGTTGGTCAGGTGGCCAGGGATGCCGTTGCCAGTCTATCAGCTTGTATTGTTTCAGTCTTTGCCTTTGTCAAGAGTGGTGAATTTATCTGTGTGACCGCAAAGTCACTGAGTCTTACAGCATCCCCTTTGAATGAGTACAAAAATCCGGTTGAAAGCGGAAGTCATTCCGAAGATGTGTGTTCGGCATCTTTTTCCTCTCTAGTCAGGCATGTGAACATCTTTCTGAGGTAAATCACCGCTGTGTATTTATCCCATAGAAAAACAGTGTTCTCAGGCCCAAGGAACATAAAAATTAAAGCTAAAAAGACTTAAAATAGAGAAACCTCAAGTGACTTCTGGGGGAAAAAAATGACTAAGTGTGTATACTGACGTCAGTTGTCCCTCAGTAGCTTTAGATACGCTGGTCCATACTTCTATCAGACCATGTTTCAAACACAGGAGGACATAAACGCACTTGCTCAAAGGGCCATTTCGAGGGTACTGACTCTGAGGAAACAAAAAAATCAAGGGGGGGGGGGGGGGGGGGGGACGTGTGTTTTTGCATTGTGAACAGATGAGGTCTAACCCTGTTTTGGTTTTTGAAGTTGTAGTTGGTTTTGTATCTTTGTTTTCTCACTTGATCTTGAACATCTTGAATTTGAGGGAGTGGTCGGGCCGGTGAGCTCCGCCTCCGTCAACGCTTCCTCTTACTCCAGCTCCTCTGTGGGAAGCTCCTCCTCCATGTCACGCTCGTCACCAGGCATGCTCAGGTTTTGATTGACAGCTGCCATGAGAGACACGGGTCTGCAGTCCTCCTCCATCTCAGCTGGCTCCTCTTTCACATGGATTTGATGTCTGAGACAGTAACACACAATAAGTCAGTCTTTACTAAGATTATAGAAGCAAAATTAATCAAATGAGAGACAAATCTTTAAATATGCAACACTTTTTAAACGGCACTTTTTCAATTTTCAATTTAAAATATATACATTTACATAATGTTATATAATTTGTAATATAATCCCTAAGATCTCATTAAGGAAGAAAGATATATATATATATACACACACATATACACATATTATTTATATAGCGCCATATAAATAAAATGCCACATATATGGTATAATTATAATATTATTATATTATGTATATATTGTTTATTGTGATTCTTTTTATAATTAATAAATTATATACACTACAGTTCAACAGCTTTTTTTTCAAGCAACAATGCATTAAATGGATGAAAATTAAAAAAAGTTATTTGTAACATATATTTCTATTTCAAAAAAATGTTGCTCCTTTGAACTTTCTATTCACTAAAAGAATCCTGAAAAATGCATAACAGTTTCCACAAAATATTTCTGTTTTTAACATGAGCAGAAAATCTGCATTTTAGAATAATTTCTGAAGGAACATGTGACACTGAAGAATGGAGTAATGATGCTGAAAATTCAGCTTTGCCATCACATGAATAAATTACATTTTAAAATATCTTAGAACATAAAACAGTTATTTTAATCTTTTATATATTTTTTGATCAAATAAACTCCTCCTTGGTGAGCATAAGAGACTTATATATACACTTAGTGTATTAAAAAATGGATTCATTATTTTTTCATTACTGTTGTTTCATAAAAACTAAAAAGACCCTTTAACTTTAGGTTATTGCGTTATTTAGTAGTACACTACATATCAAGGCACTGGCAGACAGCTGGCTGTGAGTTGACTGTAGTCTTACCCATATTGCTGCGGAGAGAGGCCCGGGCTGCAGCTACCGTTACTGTTGACTTGTTCAACAGTGCTGCTGACATCATCGTGGCCGACGTGCAGCATGTTGAGACTCGCACCTGTGCTGTTCATCAGGGTGGAGCTGTTCAGAAGACCAAGACTGCTCTCTGCGAGTGCAGCCTGCACACACAAAATGGAAGTATAAAGTCACTATGGAAAGTTAAGAGAGATTCAACGATGGACATGTTGCTCTAAAGTCATAAGGCATTGATGGCGGTGCAGGTCTGAAAGGTCTTTAAGTGAATATAGATGACTGTAAGGTGTACTTGGGCACAAAGTCATATGGCAATGGTGACTTTCACAGTTAGCATCCTCAGAGGAAGTGTGTCAGTTTATTGATTTTTTTTAATAAGTCTTCTTTGGTTTTGATAAATGTGCTGGCCCGGACCGATGCAATCTGTATGTTTTGAGAGAAATCTGGGGGCAGTGGAGCAGCAGGTTAGTTTGTGTGACCACTAGGGGTCTCCTCACCTCCATGCAACAGGCCCGATTGAAACACAGACACACCGACTTGCGCTCCTGTTACACATGTGCTCAAATTAAAACACCTCTAAAACTCTTTAGGACATGAGATATGTTATAGTGTATTATAGTATTTGGTAATACTTCAGTATTTTTGCTTAAATTTGCAACTTTTTGCTTAAACTTTTTTGCCAAATATAATTTTATGTAATAATATAATATTAACAATACATTTTTCATTACAATCAGCATAACAATTTCAGTGATAAATGAATTAATAATAATTATTAAAATAATCTGAAATATCTTCATTTTACATAATAGCATTCATTACATTATCTTTTGGATTATTTTTAGTAATTCTTTTTTTAATGTTATTTTTACTTCCGTTAAAAAAAAACCAACTACCCCTGATATACTGTTTACTCCTGGTTTTGAAGGTATAAATCAATAAACTGCTAAAAAAAAGTGGAAGTAAATGTTAAATTCATATGACTACATACAAATCAACATAAACAACTATGCATATGGATATTTTAATACATGAGGAAAAGCGGAACGGAAAACGGTTCTGGTTGGTTTCCTTCGTCTCCATACAGTCACTTCTGAACTGAAAATTTTGTGGTACTCGTGCCAATCCAAACTGTCGTGACTGCCGAAAATATGCCGTCGAGAGAAAGAGAGAGAGGGCGAAATGAAAGAGTTTGAGGGAAATTCATTCTGATTCTGTTGAGACTGGGTGGTGGCGAGAAAGATGATCAGGGTCACACAAGGTTTAGCTGATGTGAACTAAATAAAGGCTAATCCCCCCCCCCCCCCCAACTATAATTAACAGGGAGCCACCAACAATTTTTTAAGAAAGTGGCAAAAACAGACAGATTTAATAGGTAAACATGCTTAACGCCTGTTTAATGAGAAGATGACCAGGCTGAGTCACTTTTAAACGGACGATTTTAGGCGAGATTGTGCTAAGAATACCAGACTAAAACACACTCGAGGAATTACAAACGGAAAACAGCAGAGCCACAGTTCTCTCACACTCTGGAAGGGCGTTGTTGTGCACACTGTGTGTCTGCTCTTTTGTTAAAGGCTAGTTTATGTGCGGCCTTTTCAGGATGAGCAGTTCCATTTCCATAGAGATGGCCTGTGGGGTCAGAGCGGGACAAACTGGGCCAGGGCGGTGGAAGTGTGTTTGTGTGTGTGTGTGTGTGTGTGTGTGTGTGTGTGTGTGTGTGTGTGTGTGTGTGTGTGTGTGTTGGCCCGTGATTAGCTGGGCTGTTTGTTTGTCAGCCGCTGACACTGCTTGTCCTGTGAGGAGATGGATGGGCACAGACCTGACAGAGCGCCACACACGCTCACACACCCAGACCAGGACGCAAGCACAAAGGCTAACCTCCCAGATCCATCTCTGTCTCGTCACACAGTGTTCTTGGGAAAAACACACAGCTAGGCTCTGAAAGCTCAGAACAGGACTCGCAGAGACAGGAGTCGCGAGTTTCAGATGGATTTTCTAGGACAGACACTAATTTTATGCTGTGACCTTCATTGACAAATATTTGACGCTATAAATCACATATGGCTGGCTGGGAGCGCGTGTGCGATGGAGGGAGGAGAACGGAGGAGGTTTGGGAGAAGCAGCTAATTAGAAGAGGAAATTGTTATCAGTGCCCTTGTGCGCTTCATCTGGCCTGATCTGTTCAGGATTCCCACACTTTCCGAGGAATGAATTATCCAGGATTTTTTCAGTTGTATAAAAATCACTTAATGTAACGAAACCTTTAGACTAATTCGTTGAAAAGAAAGATTCACTCATTTCAGATCTCACTATGGCAACTTGTACTCTAACCAAGGAACTGCGTAGCGAACTAAATATTTTAGACCTCTAGAAAAATGTATATTCATATTTAGAAACGTCCATGACTTTAGAGACTTTATTTTTAATGCAAATATAAATTCAGACCGATTTGCTAATGAATCCTTCGCACCGAACACTGAACTGGTTTGACAAATTAAACGACTTAAAAGGACGATTCTCTCACAAGTCAGACAATCAAACGTTTTAAGTGGAATATTTCAATCAATAAAAATTTGGGAGAATAGAGTAACTAGAAAAAAATGTGTCATTCATTTCCCCATCATTTTCAATAACAACCAGTGTGTGTGGATGAATGTATAAGGTTTGTATGTTGATTTGATGTACTGAAAATCCACACGCACTTACCTGATAGCTGGCATTAAGGGAGCCAAATCCCAGCCCAGAAATCATATTCTTCACAAGAGTGGGACTTCTGAGAAGGAGAAAAAGAAAGATTACGTACACGTGTGGATTACGAGCTGATCAAAGTCTGTTAAAAAAGCTCCTAAACCCATGAAAAAGGCTGAGGCACTATTCTATTTACACAAGATAAATAGAAAAGTTAAACAATAGAGAGTAACACATGCATTCTGACACAGCATAAACTGCACACACACACACTGCGTCTGTGCGCTACAGGGCTGAAATCTGGCGGGCAGGCCGTCGGCTGGGTAATTTGCCGTCGTCTCTCTGGCAGAGCTTGAGACGGCGTGTAACATCTGTTTGTACAAATGCAAGCAGGCACGCTTTTCTGCTGTGCATCTGCTCACAATGTACCCTAAACAGTGTAGACACAGACGGGAAAAACACACAGGCACACCAACACACACGCATGCACTGCCAAACACAAGCAGGCGAGGCACAAAAGAGACCTTTGTGCTTTTGACTAGAGAGTCAGTAATAGGGTAATGATGGGAAGCCCATTAGGGTAATCATACATGCCAATAACGATTACAGCCCCACTTACAGAGCAGACCTACAAGCTCACGCTTTAGCTACAGGAATAAAGCCCGTTTTTGGGACTTCCACTCAATAAATAGTCAACACTTAAAGAGTGCTCTTTTAATCCAGTGTTTCGCAGGTTATTTTGATTTGTATGACTTCGGACAGGCTCCTATTTCAGTCTGTAAAGCTACAGAAATTCTGAGCAGGCGTTCTTAAGCGAGCCATGAGTGGCAGCACAACTATTTGATATCAATGATGGTCACTTCAAACCTGACTCAACTTGCCGGAAGATGCCATATTTGATTTAAGAACTACAGCAGAGCAGAGTTTTTAGTGAACAGTGATTACATTTCAGTTTGTTTGTGAAAAAACGACACAGTAAAAAATATATGTCATTTTACTACGGTTTTTGGAAGTAAAAACTATAAATTGCCATATATTACACATTATATTTTATATAAATAATCTTAATTTGATCTTTTTTATCAGTAATGTGCATTAGGGTGTGATACATTTATGATAGATTATATGTTATTTAGTTATAAATGTTTATTATTGCATTATTTAAGTGTCATGTTTGTTACCCTGATACCCATCTATAATGAGTATTGACCATGTTTTATGGATAAGATTCAACTATATTAACATTCTATCACTTAATGAAATATAAGGTTATAAGTTATACAGTGCTCTCGTAATACCTGAAATAATATGGTACTATTTTCATAGATATATAAATTCAGAAAACTTTGAAGATAGTGCATGAGTCGTATATAGATAACTTTTATGGTCCTTTTATGATCATTTTGGAGCTTGACAAAACCAGTCCCCATTCACTTTTATTAAATGCCCTGGAAATTCATAAAAGGCCATAGTAGTTTGTAACAACACAAGAGTGATAAACATCCTTTTCCCATCTGAGTCTACGTACCCGGTCATCTTTGGTGGTCTCCTCTTTTGGTATTCCACTTCGTCCACGGTCCAAACGGCACCCTTGACGTTCTCGACCCGCACAAAGCACTTGTGCAGACTCAGGTTATGGCGCACAGCATTCTAGGTAACGGCGACGGGACATACAGAGAAGACAAGAGAGCAAAAAGTAGTAGTTAGTTTCCCGTTCCAACCATGATTCTACACCATAGGTATCTTAAGCAGAATCGCGACCGCGTCGCTGTCATTGCTGAAAATGCAATTATAGCGAGGCCTGATATAAACAGCCTTTAATAATGGCATAAATCTTATACCTGCTTTCTAATTAAAAGAGCGCACGTGATGATGAGCACAAAAGATTGTACGGCTCAGACGGGGACATGTCGACTGAGCGTATCTCTCCATCTCGAACCCCGTTCCCCCGCCCGCACCATCTCACAGACACACACAACCAATTAAGTGCACATTCTACCAAGGGGAAGTGACAATGTGGTGCCACACCATCATAACAGTGGGAGTTTGAAAAAAAAACTCCATCTTTGAACGCAAAAAAAAATAAGAAACGATGCGCCCTATCCCCCCACCACCATCAGCAAACCCACCCCCTGCTTTTTTTATTTTAAATTTCACTAATCAGCCACTATCTAGAATAACACCCCCAAGGGAGGTCCCTTCCTTTTCATCTGCTATTTGTAGTTTGTTCATGCCCAATTTCATTACCAATTTTAATTCGTGTATAATTAAATCCTGTGTATTTTTTCCGACGCACTCTTTTCCCCCCCGAATCCATGAGGGAGGGACTGCTGATGCCGGAATCACTCCTAACCATAATTACAAGTGCCATAATCAGGCGAGGCCTCCCTTCTTTGAATAAATTTCCCCGCGCAGGAGCGATGATGCTTAGTTTTGCAAATGAGTATGACCCCAATTTCAGCCTGCCACCTCACCGATTTTATTTGCATTCCCATCCGTGATGAAAGACTAATTCTCCCAGTTAAAACATTAGCAGCAATTTAAAGGGGGTCAGCCTCTGCAGACATAAACAAAATGCCCGCCTGGCTGTGTGTATGTGTGTGTGAGTGAGAGCGCATGAGTGACTGGAGGGGTGGCAGCTATATTAGAAAGATGGCACGCGTGATGCGTATGTCAAACGGGTCTCTGTTCCTTTGGTGACTGTGCCCACATGAAGAGGAGCGACATTTCACCATCTCTGCCAAGAAATGAACAGCAACAGTACAGTACATGCTATATAGCTTAAAATGGCATTTGAAATGCATTTTACTTTCATTTCAGAGTGAAACATGATATTCAGATTTTTCAATAGTGATAAAAAACAACTTTTTTGAAAATAATCACTCATTGGACCAGGAATGTGTATTAAGAAAGAAAATCTCAGACACAGGGGGCTTTTAAAACCACACAGTCTACCAGGGACACCAAGGCCATAGACACTTGTAGCCTCATACAAAAGGAAGTACAAGTGTACCAGAAAAATTAAATATGTCATGCAGACATCAGGATAAATCCTCCACTGAGGAAGAGGGTATGAGAAAAAAAAAAATCGGACTTTAATATTCTTTACAAGAATAAGGCACAGAGAAATGATCAGTGTGGGTTACAAATATTTCCCACTTTAAATACATGATCATCAGTTAAACTACATCTGCAAAATTCTGAAAAGCAATGGGGAAATTGCTGACAGACACTGCACTGTAATATCTCCACATATACTGTATATATACAATTTTCAACATTGATAATATAATAAAATGTTTCTTGAGCACCAAATTAGAATGATTTCTGAATTATCATGTGACACTGAGGACTGGAGTGATGATGCTGAAAATTCAGCTTTGCCATCACAAGAATAAATTATATTTTACAATATATTAAAATAGAAAACAGCTTCTTCAAATTGTAATAACATTTCACAATATTACCGTTTTTACTATATTTTTGATCAAATAAGTGCAGCCTCGGTGAGCATAAGAGACTTCTTTCAAATATATAAATTATAGCTGCATATATTTAGTTTTCATCAAAATTCATTTGTTTTTGCTAATACAGCAAGGAGATTTTGTAGAAAAATGTTTATAGTAACAGTAAAAGTTATCATCAGCCCTTCATTGTTCAAGTCATTTTACACAAACAGCAGCAGTTTTGTAGAATGACCCAGCTGGTGTCCATCTTGTGAATAAGAGCTGCCCTCTAACTGATCAATGACTTCCCCCTACTCTCCGGACCTGACTTTTCATGAAATATAGATGGCCATTAAGAGCACCGGAGAACATGCATCTCCATTTCTATATTTAATACCGGGCCAAACGACTAGCAAGAGAGGAAGACGAGTGAGAACGTGCAGTTATTAAAATAAAAGAAGAGAGAGAGAGAGAGAGAGAGAGAGAGAGAGAGAGAGAGAGAGAGAGAGAGAGAGAGAGAAGGTACAGTAGGAGAAAAAAAAAGAAAACTGGCTTTGGTGAAGGAGGAAAAGTAGACGGATCCATTAATTGTTAAATTTCATAAAAGTGAAATGAGTTGTTAAAGATATTCCTGCCCCTTTCACCTCCTTCCCCTCAACTCTCACTGGCTAAGCTCACTAACTGCTCATGGGTGCCGCTGCGGTTCAAGACTATTAGCTCGCTGTTCTGTCTCTGTGCCCTCAGCTGCCTTGGGTCCCTCTCTAACCTCACCTTCTCCGTTTCTCTCCCTACTTCCTCCCCTCCAGAGGCTCAGGCACACAAATGAGCCTTGGGCCAGTGTTGTCTGAATGTGGGGCAGCACCTCCTCAGCCCAGGCTCCAGGCTGTAGGCCACGTGAATGGCTAATGAGGAGACAGACTGACAGGAAGAGATCTACTCTACGCGGTGTCCGTTTCCTCTCTTCGGCCTGACAGCACCTTGCCAAGCTCCTAGTCCACAGGGGGATAGGAGGTGCTGGGAAAGGAGGGATGTATTAGCACATCTTTCTGAGGGGCGAACTAATGGTTAAGCAGGGTGATGAGGAGATGGCCCGCTAAATGGGACGGTTACATGGTCGGCCCAGGCCGTTAATGACCGCTCTGCTTTTCACTTTGGACAGAGAGAGAGAGAGAGAGAGAGAGAGAGAGAGAGAGAGAGAGAGAGAGAGAGAGAGAGAGAGAGAGAGAGAGAGAGAGAGAGAGAGAGAGAGAGACTTTGTTTCATAAAGGTAAGTTTAGACAAGTTAAACATGAGAAAGAGTTATTATTGTTATAATTATTATTATTATTAAAAGTTCCATAAAGGTAAGTTTAGATAAGTTAAACATTGATAATGTACAAGTAAAACACGGTTACACTTTACTTTAAGGTGTCATTGTTACAGTGTATTATACATTTAAGTACCGAGTAATATTAATTAACTACATGTACTTTCTATAGGTTTAGGGTAGGATTAGGATTTGGTTGAGGATTAGTTGCATGTAATTATGCATAATTTACTGTTATTACTATGGTAAGTACATGTAACATACATAACAAGGACACTGTAAAATTGAGTGTTACCTAAAACACTATTATTATTATTATTAAAAATAAATATTACAATTTCATAAAGTTATGCTTAGATAAAATGTTAAACATATGGTAATTGGGTTATTATTATTATTAATATTAATACATATTATCATTATTACATGTTCATAAAGGTATGCTTAGATACAATTTTGAAAATTTGGTTGAGTTATTATTATTAAAATTCCATAAAAGTTAAGTTTAGGAAGGTTAAATATATGGTTACTGAATAAGAGTTCCTATTATTATTATTATTATCATAATTAATCATTAACATTTCATAAAAGCAAATTTACATAAGTTAAACATGGTTATTGAATAAGTAACAACAAAGATTATAATAATAGAATCTCTTATTCAATAACCATGTGTAACCATCTAAATGTACTATTATGACATTTTTAAAAATAACAAATTATTAATTTATCATTTAAAAAAAATATTTTTTTTCATTTTTAAATAATTGTTTAATATTTCACTATATTGATTTTTTTCTTATTAGGCTTAAGTTTTAGTCTTAATTTTTACAGCACTTTGGTTCAACTTCTGTTGTTTAAATTTGCTTTACGAAGTCTGTCCAGACCAATGAGGCAGATAAATGGAAAATAAAGAAATAGACTTCACTTTATAATATTAAGAGATTAAAATAGGCAGACTCAACACCCATACATGCATTCATTGATGCCTAGTATCGACTCTGCCCTCCACCGATGGCATGAAACCGAGCGTCGTGAGGTTAAAGCAGCTGATTGGACATCAAAGCTTGGGGTGGAACACACACACACACACACACAGGTGGAGGGAGGAGTATGACAGCAGCTGGTTCACAGGGGAGAGCTGCACTCCTGTGGCGGGCTCCAGTGGACTGTGGCATGTCAGAGCTGGTCAGGAGATGTGGAGCTGATACACATCTGGCTCCAGACCAGCAGGGCGCATGCTAATCAACTAGCCCAAATTAAACGGTCTGATAAGAGTTACAATGCTACGTGCCCATAGACTGATAATACAGAAACTGTGTTGGCATATGCATATACATAGAAACAGCAGGCAGCCATTGGCTATGCAAAGACTGATTGAATTTCCAGTTTTTTAGGGAGTCTTTTGCCTCTTTTTAGTGAAGTTTAGTACAAAGTGCAAAGGAAATGAGGTCGAATGGACTCGATTGAGTCAGACTTGAACTTCCTGCTCCCACCTACCAAACACCAGTAGGCAGGCCGACGCCACATAACACAATCAAAACAATGAGGAGAGCACATCAGGACACCAAAAAAAGAAAAGAAAAACAGATCTGGGAATGGCCGGCTCATAACATGGCTGTCTGGGTGATGCCAGGCGTCATTAATAACCTCACTGTTATTGGAGCTCTACAGAAGGCCGTATCTCTGTTGTACCCGCTGTACCCATTGGCACGGAGGAAGGATTTATTGTTGTTTGGGTGATGTTGAACAAAGGATTGTCCATTGCTCTGTTTTTATGTCTGCGAGTCATTGCCAGGAGGTAAGCATAGGCAAGCAAGCTCTTCTAAACATTGACCGCTATAGACTGATCGTTTCTTAAGATTTAAGGTATAAAGGCCTGTTCAGATGAAACATTTTAGTTCAATGGCAAAATTTCGTCAAATGTTTCAATATGATGTTTATAATTTTTTGTATTAAATAAATAAAATAAAGGTAAAAACAACAAATCACTGCAGTGCAATATTTCATGCTTAGCTTGGAAGGGTTTTGGTGCAAAACAACGCTTGTTGATTGCCGTTGTGATGAATAGGAATGCTAACATATATCTCAAAGTATTATAGACGTTCATGGGGCAAGATATATAGACTTTTCATCTGATGGGACATTACCTTCCATGTTGCTGTGTTTCTCCTGAAATAGGCGAACATTCGTGTAAACCAGTTATAGATCTCGTTTAGAGTCAGCTGTCGGTCAGGGGCTTCCAGAATGGCCTGGTGAATAAAGTGAAGAGAGAACGGAAGAGAGAGAGTGAGCAGGTGTCAAGAGGTGATTCAAGAGGTGATTCAAATGGCTGTTATTAGTGAGACATTAGCTGATGGACTGTTTCCAGACGGGCAGGCAGTGCATTATGGATAGTGCCACGCGTTTCAGCATGACTGACACCGAGCTAAGAGATGCGCATAAATCCTTAGTTACCAGCACACACCGTTGAACTCTGCTCAAGCGCACTGGAGCACAGAGCGCACAGTCCAGATCTCTAACATCAGGCTGACTTACGTGTCGTATGAGCGAGGCGTAGGTGAATGGAGGCCTGACGTCAGCGTTTTTGTAGAATTCACAATTCTGTGCAAGTTCTGTAACAGACAAAACCAGCCATGATTATTTCACATATATTGCATTGCAGTGTTGTAGAAATCGATACGTAGAGTGTGATGAGCTGTATTTGTGCGGTCGGGACACTGACCCGAAGCGATGGGGGTGCAGAACTTGTCGGAGTTGCGCCGACGGATGGGTCCGACTCCGTGCAGGCTGGATGAGCTGATGACGGAGGGTCCCTGCCTCATGGGGGTGATGGGAGTTGCGGCAGAGGTGGGGGGATGAGGCAAGCCCTCAGGAAACCCCTCACTTTCTCTTTTTGACAGCGACATGCTAGAGGCCAGGTTCAGCTAGACGAGAAGAAACAAAATAGGAACTTTATTTACATGACAATTAGTTGTTATATTAGTAGTAGGTCATACACTACTTGTATGGTTGGCATTGCCTAGCTAATTTCTATATGATCAGCCATTTAAAACTAGCAGTGTATTTGAATTTTTTTTGCAAGCAACATATAAATCATAAGATTTACAGTCTGCTACCATTCAAAAGTTTGGGGTTGGTAAGATTTTTTCAAATGAAAAAAAAGAAAAAAAGAAAAAGTATCTTATGCAAACCAAGACTGCATTTATCTGATCAAACATACAGTAAAACAGTAATATTGTAAAATATAATTAAAATTTTAAATAAGTGTCTTCTATTTTAATACACTTCAAAATGTAATTTATTCCTGTGATAGAAAAGCTGAATTTCAGCAGCAATTACTCCACTTTTCAGTGTCACATGATCCTTCAGTAATCATTCTAATGATGATTTGCTGTTCAAGAAACATTTATTATTATTTTCATTGACGAAAACAGTTCAGCAGCTTAATATGTTTTATTTGATGAATAGAAAGTTTTAAAAGCATTTAAAACAGCATTTATTTAAATATTTTGCAATATTATAATTGTCTTTACAGTCTATTTTGATCAAACTGATGCTTCCTTGCTTATTATTTTATTTTTTTTAAAGAAATAATACCTCTACAGACCCCAACGTTTGATGAAACTAATGATATCAAATGAGATATACACATCATCAAAATTCCCTCAAAAATACTGGAAAACCAGTCTAAATGTTGTCCAATTACAAGGATGTTGGCATGACTATTATTTATTTAATATTTTTAATGAATGTTATAAATATGAGACTATAAATATTAAAATCTATAATAATATTTGTAGTATATATGCAATTGTGTCAAATTTAACAAAATAAGCTTCTATATGTGTATTATGCAGGTAACTGTTTAAAAGAAAATTTGCATAAAAAATTGAAAAGTGTGTTTTATGTTTGGGAAGAGTTAATACGATATTGTATTCAACATATATGTATTTGCTTGCATTTTTTGTTGTTTATAAAAACACATTCACACATATACCACAAAACAAAACAATGACAGTGCAAAAACGCAGCCTTGACCCTAATTCGCATCATCTTCATGGTGTACAGTAATCTCCAGCGTTGCAATTACAAACCAGGAAATATAATCATCGTCAAATTGTCATTGGTCTCCCGCTGTGAGAAGCACATCCTGCGATCCATGCCAGCACATCCATGCCAAAAGCAGTTGGCACAATGACTCCATTATAAGATGATCCTGTTCACCCGGTGAAATTCAAACAAAGCACCCCGCAAATCGTGTTTCTCAGACACACGCAGGCACAAACGAGGCTCCTCTGTGACACAATGTCTGCAATTAAAGCCACACAAGAGGAGCAAAACAAAGCGATACATGGTAGGAGGGGGTAAAACAACAATCTGGCAACAAACAAGGCTTGCGGTTACCCGCCCTCATCGTGGCCCTGCTCTGCCCAATTAGCTTTGGCGGGTACGGAGCACTAGGAAACAGCTTTCCCCATCGCTCAGGGAGTCTTTTTCGGGGTTGCTTGTTTTCCTCTAATTAAAACCATCATGTGCACGTGTGAGCAGCGAGAGATAGAACGAGCGAGAGGAGGGGCGGGCGTAGCAGGGTTGAAGCTAATATGGCGAATTAAACAGCGCCAGCCCTCTTTTCTCTCTATTCTCATTGCCACAGGAGCCAACCTGGCCCATCTCCAGTAATTAGGGGAGCAAAATGGTTTAACAGGTACTTAATTAACTCTGGAGCCACGCCAGTTTGCTGTGCCAAACACCCAACGATCTTAATAGCGGTCAAAGCCACACACGGGTTTGAGCTTGTGCTAAGCTCCGCCCTAATGCTCACCCTTACCACTTAATGCTAATTCTTTCTCTTGATCACACTCACAATTATCATTTTTTCATTCTCTCTCTCCCTCGTTCTCTTATAGGTCACTCGGCCCGGCCCGGTCGCTGTTTCCCATTACCGTCTAATGGCAGCTGATCCAGAGAATTTGTCTCCAAACAGGAGACGCGGCCTACTTTCGCCCTCCGCCTTCATTTATATCCCCTCAAATTAAGACACTCTACTTCTAATTGACAATTAATTTCAACATCTTCATATTTTAATAAGACTCCTCATCAATCTCGGCATGAAATATTCATTAGATTCCTAATAATTGCACAGCCAGCTGGTGGCTTGAGGGGAAATGCTTTGTGATGCCTGTGTATAAAGCAGCGATCTGAAATATCTGGTAAGTCCAACCCAAAACACTCACTTTCTTTTATACCGTGACAAGCATCTTTAAGTACACAAACACTCTTCTAAAGTGAATCGAAGGAAAGCAGGCCAGCTGTAGCTTCTAAAAAGAAAACTCAATCTGTAGGAGTCCATCATTACACTTGAGTTGAAGGTGCTTAACGGCTTGCAAGGATAAATTATTTTTTCCATTCGTAAAGTGCAAGAATAAGATGAACAGGTATTAGTATATATACACGTATGGGTCTGCAATGAGACTAAAGAATTTAGCTGCTCTCCAGGAAAACAATCCAAGCACACACACACACACACAGAAGACAGCAAAAAGAATACAGCACTTCCTCCTTTCTCCAACAGAGAGCGCTCTTTAGTGCCTCACACAGTTGATTCACTGATCATACTGTGCACTGAACAGAACTTTACATACAAGAAAATACAGAGAGAAAATCAAAAAACGGGTTATCAGAGGATGTAAGAATGAGATGGTAGAAGGTAAAGATTATGAACTCACAGGTTGGTTGAAAGGCTTTGGCTCTGATGGACGCATATGCAGGTGGGTCATCATGGCCTGCAAACGCTCACTCTCTTTGGCCAGCTAGACAAAACACATACACACACATTAGAAAAAAAGAGACAGACCAAATAGATAAAGGTTTACACTTTTCCATGTGTCCAGTTTAATATGCAGAGACAGCGATAAGTAAGCCATTTGTACATTGATTTCTCCAAAACTGTAATGCAATCAAAACATCCAAACAGCCTGACACAGCAATTGCATTATTGATCAATACAGTACAATAAATAAGAATATAAAATAATGTAAATATTTTAAAATATTATACAAAGGTAATAATTAAAAATAATGTATTTGCCATCCAATTTGTTTTTATATAAAAATTAATATATATATATATATATATATATATATATATAACATAAAAAATTAATTATTAATAATTATTGAATGCATATGATTTAATGCTATCCTTTTATCTTTACTTCTCAATAGCATTAAAAACAAGATTTCTTAACTTTTAAATAAAACAAAATATTGTCTAATTTATTTCAATTATAGATGTTATTTTTGTTTCACACTGTTTTCGTTATACGCAGCTGCTAAAGCTTTGGCAGCGCAAGTGTACAATTATTTGTCATGCCAATACAGCACATTAAAAACCGAGTGTCGTCATAGTGTGTGCCGCTCTTGTAGGCGCCGCTGAGAGGAGGAGGGAGTGACTCGAGATATTCTCTTGTGAGGATAATTTTGCATTCTGCCTGTTAACTGAGTCAGCTCACAGGGATGTTGACATGCCGTTTCACAGCTCTTGATACCTCCGGGAGAAAACAGCTCTCTCACCGTCCTTCTTCCCTCTCTTCCTCTTTCTCTCGATTGCTGCGTCTCTTTCAGAGACACTTGCCCTGTAACCACACTCGCCCTCGTTTGACATTCCTAACCGCCATTTAGAGGAAATGTGGAGGCAGCCGGCCCCTCTTAATCAAGGGGCGACACGCTGCCTCAAAATGCTCCAAGAGTGGCACTAAAAGTGCCATTTTTTTCACACACAAAAAAAAAAGATCTGTACATACGAGAGGACGGAGCGACTTAAATTAGAATCATTTTCGTCTGAAGAAAATTTCTGTCATGCAAACGTCATTGACATGATGTCAAGCTATTCTGGGTGGTTGCTAAGCTATTCTGGGTTGTTACTAGAGCAATACTTTGTGGGGTCTAGGGTGTTATGGGTGGTTACTAGGACGTTGCTATGGTTTCTGGATGATTGCTAGGGTGTACTGATTGGTTGATAGGCTATTTTGGGTTGTTACTAGAGAATTGCTATGTGGTTGCAGGATGTTCTGGTTGGTTACTAGGGGGTTTCTAGGTGGTTGCAGGGTGTTCTAGTTGGTTACTAGGGGGCTTCTAGGTGGTTGGCAGGGTGTTCTGGTTGGTAACTAGGGTTTTCTAGGTGGTATAGGGTGTTCTGGGTAGTTACTATGGGGTTTCTAAGGTGCTATTGATGGTTGCTAGCCATTGCTGAGTGGTTGCTAGGTTTTCTAGGTGGTTGCTAGGCTATTTCGGGTTTGAACTAGATGGTTGGTAGGGTGTTTGGGTGGTTACTAGGATGTTCCTATGTTGTTACTGAATGTTCTGGGTGCTTATGGGGGTGTTAGATGGTTGCTAAGGATTTATGGTAGGTTGCTAGGGTTTCTCAGTGGTCGCTAAGGTGTTTTGAGTGGTTGGTAGGCTATTCTGGGTTGTTACTGCTAGAGCATTTTTAGGTGGTTGCTAGAGTTCCTCTGTTGTCAAAAGAAAAAAGTCCCCATATGAGCAACAGTAATATTGATGGTTGTCTTAGCAAACTCCACAACCTAATACTGGCTGTTTTTTAATACTGTACTGTACAAATCATCCTAAGAATTGGATTAGACTGTTGTTGTGTTGTGCTTATGCTCTGCGGCTGTGCCTAGTGTTGCTGGAGTCATCCACAGATCTGGGCTGTTTATTCACCCATTAGCTGATATGTGTGTTTAATGAGGGGCTGCCACATGCTGGTCAGCGGGGTAATAAAAACAGTGGAAAATCTGAGCTGGTGAGCTGAGAGAGACAGCAGGTTGGCGAAGGGTGGTTCTGGTTGGTCTGGGTTGGCATCGGGGCGGTGGGGGAGTTGTGGGCAGAGTAGGTGACAGGACGGAGGTAGACATGAAAGGAAATACGCTTGGACATGGACTGACTCTCTTGTCACTTCTCATCACCCCTGCATCGATCTGGACACGTGTTTAAACGCTGTTTGTGGGCCACAAAGTGAGCTTGCTGCCCGCGTGCCTGGCAGGGCAGAGTTTTTTGAAAGAGCTTTGTTGAGGGGTTTATTTTTGGGAATGAGACGAGATGGAGAACATGAAGGGGAGGTGGCGTGGAAAGAAAAGGGAAGCTGACCAATTACTAGGTCTGTTTGACTGGCTGTGATGATGGGAAGTAGTTCTGCCACGTAAAGCTGGGGGGCCTGAAGTGCCCGTCTCAATGTAAGCCCGTCCAGGAGACATGCTTTTCTTTTTTTAAAGGTTGTTGATTTAAAGCTCCAAAAGCAGAGGAATTCAACCGCTGCAGGCACGGTAAGGTTACTTGACCTGCATTTTAGTTTGGCGTGTGCTTGAGTGCGAGCAGTTTCCCCATAGCTAAAGGTTTCTTTAATGCGACCTAATGTGCTTGACCAAAGTCCTGTCAGTGTCAATCCTAACTGTCACTAGACGCTCTTCTGACAGTCTCTGCGTCCAAACAAATTACTCACACGGACAACAAAACACCACTAAACATAGCGCATTTCAGGGTTATAGACTGTTACGGCAATACTGAAATGACACGTTTGAACATTCCCTTTCATTGAAAATCCCTCCAAATTCTTCTCAAATTTTTAGCAAATAGTAGAAGAAAAAAAGTTAAAATAAAAATATCCTGAGAGTTCTGGACTTTTGCAAACACTCCATCCACACTTCAGAATAATTCTATTTACGCAACATTTACATTTTATTGTAAATTTTATTTTAATTTAATGTATTAATTTAAGTTTGGTCTTTTTTATTATTACTGTTTTCAATTTTTTTATTATGATAAGTGATGTGTTTTCATTTTGTTAATTTAAATGTTATTAATTTCATTATTTTTTCTTATAGAATTGAATAAATTTGTATAATTTACATACAACACTAATAATAATAATAATAATAATAATGCTAATACATTTTTGATAATTGATTTGTCATTTTAATATTAAGTAGCAGGACAACCTCAATTGTAATCTTAGTCATTTTTCTGATTAATTGTGCTGCCTTACTGAAAGAAAAATAACAAAACCACTGAGCTGATTAGAAAAACGTCTGCAATTGGCACTAAGGCCGACATTAGAAGAGTGGAGAGGCACACAGAGGGTGTCCGCGGGCAGAGGAAGTCTCTAGCACTTCCCATGTCCACCCTTCTCCTTATCAGCTCTCTCATTAGAGATGACACCACGTATATGCGAGCGACAGGCAGCCCACGGTGCTTGCCGAGAGTCCGCGGCAGGAGGGACGAGAGAAGTGCTGGGAAACTCTCTAATTGGGATCCATCAAAGGCAGATATTCTGGCCTCCTCTCTCGCACTCGCACTCTACATCACTCTTCCTATTACAAGCTTCAGTGATCTCTATCAACTTATGTGACATGTAATGGGCAGAAAATCATGCCAGCTGGGAAAGTGTGCAGTTCTGTATGTGAAATAGTACGGGGGAGTTCTGGAAGACCAAATTTCGGCATCTATTATCCATATTGGTGAACACAAATTCAGGCCTTGATCCTCTAAAGTTGACACTTATGACTCAATTACCTGTAACATAATTACGAGGCAAAAATGTATAGACTAAACTCTTTAAAAAAACGCTAAAGCATGTGGCAAATGCATAAATGTAAATGAAAACAGGACAAGAAAAACAGGAAAAGTCAGGCAGCTTGAACATTGCGTTTGCAAGATTTTTAGAGAAATGTTGATTTTGCGTTTGTGTGCGCATCCCACCTGTATCTCCAGCTGTTGAACGACCTGCATCTGGACCCTGCACTGGGCCGTACTGCGATCATCCAGGGCGTGTTCACTGTTCAGGTGCCTGAGAGAGAGAGAAACGCAAACATGTGATGACATATCCTGATACACAGTCTACTAGATCAATCCACGACCCTATCTAAACTCCCAGAGGGAGATCTGTAAGCATATTTGGACCATCTGCCACAAACCGTGTCGCTGACCTGCCTGATACAGCACACACACACACACACACACACAAACACACACAGTAAGGCTGTGTCTCAGCCTTTTGGGATTGCCTCGTAGTTTCTGCTGTGTATGCTAACGTGTTAACATTACATGCCCTGGCGTCACATCCCGACTACACACACACTTACCCAAATACAGAGGTCACTGAGACATCAGAGATCTAGTTGTGGCGTCTTGGCAAACCATGACTTCACATAAATCAAAATACGAGCACAGATAGTGGTTTATTTTTCCAATTTGGGGTAAAAATATTTAATGGAATCCTCTCGGGATTACAACGGCCCTCTCAGAGGAAACCCCTAACAATAGTGGATTTCCACTTGAAAACACACTTTTCACTAGGCGTATAAACTCAATTTCCTTTCGCAAGAAAATAAAAACAATATTAGAACATGAAAGATGCGGAAAAAGAGGTTTTCCGCTGAGGATTGTCATATGAACGAATGTGACCGTACTGTTTGCTGAAACTCTACTTTTCCAAATAAATAGTTTTATTTATCGTCTAACCGTGTTTACCGTCACTCATTGAAAAAGATGAAAATAACTTTAGACATGAAAGTCTCTCTATATTAGGTCTAATCTAGTGTCCTAATGTCTCTGTTATTCAGTTGAAAAGCAGCTGGAGTGGGATATTATTTTGGAAACGGTTTTTGTTTCTTTTGTCAGAAATTGCCACAGTCCATGAACTCTGAGTGGGAGTTAAAATAGGGGGGGAAAACACCTGGATATGACATCATTTGTTTTACTCATCAAGTGCTGCTTTAGATGGGTGAGCTTTGCCCGTAGTTATTCAAGTCATGTTTTCTTTATGAAGCAATCCAAAACAAAACTCCAAAACAAAGCTAAACAAACAGATGATGAAGGAACCAAATGAGGAAGCAAAAATCTAAGAAAAAGAAGGAACGGTGTCAGATAGGACACAGAGATGGATCTTGGATCTTTCATCTACGCCATCTGTCTCATCCCACCCATTTTATTTACAGCTTTCCAATGCTTGAAATCACACAAATGAACCCCTGCATGCATATAAACACAATTATATAATCCATATAACATCCCTACATCCAAATGATGATGTCATGAAGCATTTGAGCAATGATGTCATTAATCCCTCCAGGTGCGGAAGAAGGCCCTCCCAACTTCTAACCACACACCTGGTGAAGTTTAATGACTCCGAGGTCAAGGGTCACAGGAGCGCCTTCAGAAGATGAGTAGAGGAATTACAATGAAAGCATTATAAAACAAAATCTTCATGAGAATCTATTTAATTGTGCATGCACATTTCTCCTATTGTGAATGAGATTTGCTAAAGATAACAATTAAGTTTTATTGAATAATGTTTTTAAAGATTTACTTTACGTGAGCGTTAGTTGATGGCAAAGTTAACCAAGCTAACCAATTCACTTGTAGCGGTTAACTCGACTGATTGTAGCATTAATGTTTAATTTTTACATTTATTTAGACAAAATTTTAATATCAGCCAGTTATCAAATATTACCTCAATGTTAAAAAAAAACATTTGTGCGGTCAAACTTATTCGACACTTTTACTTGTGCATTTTTTTAGGACTCTCTTCATTGGTGTGTGTGGCCCATGAGTTAAGTTCCCCGCACGGCGGGAGAGCGACAAACGGAAGTGTGTGTAAGCGGCAGAATCTTAACCTTCGCAGTACACACTCATTGAGGTGATCCCGGCCTGCTTTATCTCCGTGACACCCGCCGCATGACACAACCGTTTTGAGAGACCGACTGAAGGAAAAGAGGGGTGCGCATTCACTTTCTCATGAGAAATTAAACAAAAACAATGATGTCACCCACTCGACTAATCCAGGCGCAGATAGACGTTTTTCCCCGCAAGCACATGATGATAATAACAAAAACATGATCTCATCTTACTCTCCCTCTGCCCCCCACACCCCCCGTCTCTCTCTCTCTTTTTCTGAATAAAGGAACAGACCACAAATTTTATGGCTCATAATAAACAGTAGCAGCGTTTTTCCGAGAGACCCGACAATGAGGCAGTGTTTACTCCCTGCACCCCAACAGGGATTTGAGGAGCATTTACAACGGTCACAGAAAAAACAGTCACAATCCAGCCCGACAAAGGGCTTGAGTATTCTAACACATGTCGTCCTGGCATGCCAGAAAAAATTGAACATCATTAAAGAGCTCAGGACGAGAGTGTGTGAGATCGAGACAGAGCGAGAAAGAGAGAGAGAGAGAGAGAGAGAGACTGTATGAAGATTAAGAGTGAATGAATGTTTTATTCTCACACTACTCTAGTTAGAGAAAAAGAAAAAAAAAACAAGAGACAGATTTCATTTGGGGATAAAAAGTGTTCATATCATGTCCAGATGAAACTGACAGACGTTTTAAAGCATTTTCTGAACTGATTTTGTGGGGAATTCTGTGAAAAGGATTTAAAAAGTGGTGAAATTGTATTAAACGGAGCTGAGAGTCCTACACTCTTAGCATTTTATGTGTTTAACTGCACTGCTTTTTAATAGTTTTGTACTAGATGGATGTCTCGCTGTTTTTTCTGTCTTGTGCTTGAGTATTATAAGACACAGTCAACTTAAAAGAAGTTCCTCTTCAAGGTCAGTTTTTAAGACAGTGGACCAATCAGAAGAATCAGTGGGCGGGGCAAGCATCACTAGCGTGTTTACAGTAGAAACTGCTAATTATTTGTCACCAACACCTTAGAAGAGGCACTTAGCTATGGTCAGGAAGACAATTGTATATTTTAATATTATATAATAAACATTAATGCATTTGGGAGACACTTTTATCCAAAGCGACTTGCATTGCATTGCATTCAAGACGAACAGTATATCAGTTCATGCAATCCATTATAATATAATAATATAATATAACATAATAATCCATCTTGTGTTTCTAAATGCAACGTGTTCAGTTCAATCGAATGGAACAGTTAAAACAGTTAAACACTTCAAAACAGTTAAGACTTAAAAACGCTCTGTTCATGTTGAAAACCGTGGCTGTTAAAAACATCCATCCAGCGCATGTTTAGATAGACCAACAATTAAAATAATAGTGCAAAAAGAACACATTTTGTGTGAATGTCCCCTTATTGGAAGCTGAAAGCATTATTAAATTACCCAAAATGAACATGTACGGGGCGAGGGATGTGTAGAGCTTTGTGAATGGCAGGCGTTCGTACAGCGGGCACTGATTCCATGTGGGCCTCATTTCCTACTATAAGTGGCAGGCAGCCAGATGGGGCTATAGAAAAGACAAAAAGAACAAGAAGAAAGAGAGAGACTCCTCTTTTCCCGTCTTTAGCGATGACTAAAGTGTTCTGACTAGGCCAGGGTGCACAGCACTGATGGCAATATCTGTCACCCCCTCCTTCTTATCTCACGTCCCCCCCTCTCTCCGCTTGCCCCGAGGCTATGTGAAATGAGACACCGTGCAACCAAACAACAGCTTTACTCTTAAAACTTTCCCAGACTCTCCGGCTCTTTGATGTGTGTGTCAGCGACTATCATACGCGCTTCCCTCTCCCGCCCGAGTGCACCAAGCACGCTCTTCATCCCCGTCGCCAGGGACGACCGGAGGAAATTTACATACACATCTTTCTGGCTTGTCAATACAGCGGTCCCCTCGAGAAAGCACAGCCCTGGAGTCAAAAGATGACGCGAGGGCTAAGCATTTCATCCCAGTAAATAAACACACAGGGATGTGACCGCCACTCATTAATGGACAAGAACAGAATACTGTAAGAGATTGAGCTGACCTGCTGGATATCAAAGAAGGTGTTCGAGGGAGAGGAAGAGAAATTAAAAAGCAGTTGCGTTGCGAGCCTCGAGCCCGCTGGGGCCAAGGCAATGGCTGGCTCACACCCCTGTGACAGGCGGACATGTCAGGACTTTCCACTGTGAAGTCTCATTATTTTAACACACAGAGACAATGGGACTGTTTACATCGCCTTCCCTGTCTGATCTCTTCCTCTCTTTATCTCCTCTCGCCCCCCCCAGCATCCCTAAAGACCCCAAACTGGCAAACACACGCGCAAAGAAAAAGAGATTGGGAAAAGGGAGATAGAGGAGGGGAGGGAGTCTCTTTTTGATGTCTTTGCTTGTATCCAAGAAACAAAGGCTTCTAATTGTAAATGAGCTAATTAAGTAAACCACTAACGAAGCGTGAAAACAATTTGCTTGACCCAGCAGTGGAGCGCTCAGGAATGGAGAGGCAGAATTATGGGAGTGGGGAGTTAATCGGCCTCTGACAGCATTGAAGAGTTGCGGGCAGCTACCTGATCAGACACACACACACACACACACACTTCCTCTTGAACGCAGGACAGGTCAACGAGAAGAGAACCGGACATCTGTCTCTATGGTTACTAGCAGGGCACGTGTAAACTAGTTTCCTGTGCAAAAGTATTAAGCCGAACCTTTGGGAATAAGTGTTGTGAAAGCCATACAGTTCATTTACGGAGTTCTTGCACACTGTTGCACTTCTGAATTCAGAAATGATCAGGCCCAAAAGGTACACTAAATAATATATAAACTTTGAAATTTTTACAGATAACTATTTTTAGGCTAAAAATTACTTTGTGTACCTGGAGTGTATTACTAAAGAATTACTTTAATACAGATATTAAACTATATATACAGTATGTATATCCTGTATATATCTATATATAGATACATATTCTACGATAATGTTTGAAAAATGTGGGGTCTGTTTTTTAAGCGTTTTTAACAGTTGTCTCTTATGCTCACCAAAGATTTGTTGATTTGATCAAAAACCAGGAAAAAATGTATTGTGAAATATATTAAAATAGATAAGTTATTTTACATTTTAATAATATTTTAACATGTAATTTATTTCTGTGATGCCAACGCTCAATTTCTAACAGCCATTACTCCAGTTTTCAGTGAATATCAATATGACCCTTCAGAAATCATTCTAATATGCTGATTTGCGGCTCAATTTTTTTTCTGGAATCTGTTGTGTATATACATATTTTTTCAGGATCCTTTGATAAATACAACGTTCAAAAGAGCAGCATTCATTTAAAATAGAAATCTTTTGTAACATTATAAATGTCTTTACTGTCACTATTGTTTTAATTTTTTTCTTTAAAAAAAACACTCTCTCTATTTATAATCTTTAAGGAAAACCAAAAGGTGCGTACAAACATTTATAGTCTGTGACATACTACGTATTTGCTTGTAACTCTACAGAGGGCACTCTAGTTTACTCTGATTGTGTCCTCTGACTGTGAAATACCTGTCTATCAAGCGTTAGCCCTCTTTTTTCATACACGAGTACAGTCCCACAGCGTTGGCGAATGTCTCACGCTCTCTTCAGCAATAACCTTGCACCCCCCACCTCCCTGTGGAATTCATTCGTCTCTTGTCTGTTCAAACATCACACCTGAACATGGCTGTCAGCCGCCCGGCTTTATCATTGCCTTTCCTCTCATCCCCACACTTACTTCAGCGCAAGAGAAGGCCTTTAGTTTACAAGCGATCTGCAAGCTCATCGAAAAAAGGATGAATGCACATTGACAGATGGAAATGCTAACAACCAGAGACTTGTTTTGCGGGACGCAGCGGCCAATGATGAATGCTCTGCAGCTTGGCAGGGGGTTTTACGTGTGTTTACAAGGTTTGACGTGCATGCAGCACACGATGTGCTTCTGGAGTGGACTTGACGGACAGCTGTCACTCACTTGATGAACTGGCCCATGTCCTCGCAGAGCGCTTCGCAGCCGGGCCACTTGCACTCGCCGTGTCCGAAGAGCGGGTGGGAGGCCGTGTGTTCCTCATGGGTCGAGCTGAGAAAGACAAAAAAAGATCTGGTTAGTCGAACTATAAATGATTATGTCACACTAAACTTTTACCTAAGTGGTAGGAGTGTTCAGGAAAACAGGAATACACACTCCATTCTTCAAAAAAATCAAAACACCTGCTTGCTTAATCAAAACAACTCATTTGAGTCGATATATTATTGAAATGTTTTCAGACAGTCTGCATGGTAGTCTCACACACATGCGACTAATACAAAGCAATGAAGCAATGGAAACAGTCTTAAATGTTCCCTGTCTGGGAAAGCCGATAGCTTTGAGGCAGTCCTTAAGGAAGCTTTGAACAAATGCAGTTTGAGAGGACCTGGTAAATGTAAATGTAAAAAAAAAAAAAAAACACGTCAGCTTTCCATAATCATGACTGACAGACTTCCAATAGTAAGTGTATATCATTGTATTAGCATCTTGCACTACGACGCAGGTTCAAATGTCTGAGATGCGGCCAGGAACAACACGCCGCTATCTAATTACGAATGAACGTGGATGATCTTCAGATGTTTCTCAGTAACGATGGGAGTTCGGATAAGGTGGCTGCTGATGTGCTGACAGGGCCTGCTGGTGGGGCCTGGGGATAAACGCTATGGTTTTGTTTCATTTGAGATACAACCACTGTGTGCTCTGTGGCCGAGAAGTCTGGATCGGGTCTCTCTGGCCCGGCTTCTGTAGAGATCCATAACGAATCAGCCACGAACTCTCGCCAGCAGTCTTCATCCAGCCATTTTTCATTTCGGGCCTGGCCAACAGCCATGGGCTAGCATGTAGCTTGGTTTTTTTTTGTGAGGGCAGGGACCACAGAATCCTTCGTCATGCGTCTGACTGTTGCTAAGCATGGGCAGGGGGCTAAATGGGGGAGTGCGGCTTGTGGCGGTTGAAGGTCTGGGGAACTCTTCCCAATTCCACATCAGAGTACTGCTTAATATAAAGCAGCTTGCTTGCAGATGAGGCCCTCCTGATGCGGCACACACATGCTCCCTCCACCTCTTCATCAGATGTGCTGGCAGTGGACGGCCCACGCAATTCAGAAGCTGCTCGAGCGCTAGACATTACAAACTACTGGCAACCACACTGTCCACATGTGCCATGCATTAGCCTCACCGCACAGTTTTTCTTCCCTTTTCAGTTGCGAGTGTGTGTGTGTGTGTTTGTGTGCAAATGTGTTAGGCCAAGTCAGGGAGAACAGTGTTAGAAGAAAACATGATGGAGGGCGTGCTTTTCTTTCTGTTTAGCCATGTCCGTGTAGCATGACAGGGTGGGGCGTGTGATAGTGCTGCTGGTGTGTGTGGGTTTATTTAGCTGTAGGTTGGAGGTCCCACCGGTGTAAAAATGGCTATATTACATAAAGAGATCCACAGAACCGCTGCAAACATCACACTGCAGAACCATTCAAGTGAATATAAATTATACAATGTTTCTGATTCACTATCTTGTTTTATTTATTATTAATTTATGCATGTACTGTATGTGTGCATGTATAGGCTTGGCTGGCCCGGTGTAGGTTTGATACATTACAGCAGTCTAAGGTGGGTCCTCATTTAGATGTCTAGGTAACCATGTGAGCATATACATACATACGTACATGTGTGTGTTTTACTCACTGAGTGCTCTGCAGGTGAGCGCCTTTGGAATAAGGCATGAGATGCTCATCACTGGACTCCTTGGTGAAGGACGAGATCCACTCAAAGAGTCTTGCTCTTAAAAATTGATAGAACGTATAAGTACCCCACAGTAGGACCACTTTTCTCTCTCTCACACACAGCTGCTCACCTCTCAGCTACATTTTCACAGTATACTTTCACCCACTCCACACACACACACACTCATGCTAAACTGGCACAGGGGCGTCAGTCATGCTGAAGGAATTCTGAGGAACTCACACGAGCACCTAATATCAAATGAACCTAGGCATTTTACATCAGCTCATCAAACGGCACCTGACAGCAGAGACCTTGAAATACAACTTGTGTGACAAAAATATCTATTTATGAAATACTGTCATTTAGCAGTTGGCACTTTGAATGCTCATGATGAAAACACATGAGTATAACTATAGCACTTTGTTTGCATACTTTCAATATACTGTCAGTTTTAATTTTAAACTGTGGATACTGGTCATTCTTGTATTTGACTAACTATAAAACATATCCCGTGGATAAACAAAGTTTGCTTGTGAATTTTCCACTGACCTGTCTCTCTTTGGAGTGTGCACAGAGTTCTGTCCATTTGGCAAAGGATGATGGGGGATCTGAGGTGAGACCTTGGAGGCCGAGTATGAGGTAGTGTTGGAGCTGTTGGTGGTCAGATCGAGACCCTCGTGTTTCATGGCCTCCTCTGTGCTCTGAACACTGGCCACGTCCTTCCACAGCTGCTGCAGGTCAGTGGGACACATGGCTGAGATGGACAGAAAGCAATCGAGAGATTACTACAAACTATAAATCAATATTTATTACAATAAACCATAATGTCCTTAGTCAGAAAAAAAAAAAAACACTTTAAGTAAACTATAAGTGCTATAATCCACAAACTCCATTGAAAAACACAAATAGGTGAGTTGACAATCCCGGAATCAACAACAGGTGCCATATGATGAAACAAATTCTAGGAGACTTTTTTCAGTATGTATATTAGTTTTCCTCATCTTTGTTGTGCTGAAGGTTATAAGCCTAGTGTTGAATGATGAGAGCTCCTTCTGAAAGCATTCAAAATCTGCGTCTCCTTATCACACATCTAAAGCCACCCCCTCTCCACCTAACCTCATCTTGAATGGCGGCCAGCTGGCAGCACATCCCGCCCCAGAGATCTTAAAGTCTGGCAGTGCGCTGACATTAGTGTGGCAAGCCATAAAACACCAGGCGCACACCGCGCCACACTTCATTACGGGAGGGGGGAACGCCAATGGGACTTGTTAAGTTCACGGGAGAGCAGAAGGAGGGAATCTTTCTAAATCTGAGGAACCAAATGGCTAATTTCAGCGTGTTATTGTTATCTTTCAACATCTCCGCAAACCCCCCTGGCTACCTCCATTTGTAATTATCACTGTCCCGACCGGCACTGGAACTCACTGGGTGAATTAATCTTGGCGAGATGCTCTCTTGGCATTTTTTTGTTTTATTTTCCCCTCAAACTTGCTGAATTCGGGATTGTTTTCGTCTCTTGGAAAGGCGGAGGGGGTCTAGGTTGGGAGGGAGATTTGAGGGTGTAAAAAAGAGGGGGAGGGGGGTAAGCTCGTCTGGCGCACACTGTTCCCGAAAAGCCACAGCCTGCTACGCTATCTCACATGGCAAAGACTTAATAGCAATCTAAATATTATGTCTGGTCCGCCAGCATTCTTGTACCGGACCCCGCCAAAACAAAACTCCTCGCCTGGCTCTCTTCACCCCACCCCCTCTCTTCCCAGCAGGCCCGAGGCCAGGGAAATTATGTACGGCCACACTTGCAGCTACAGGCTGTTGTTCACTAGACACAGACAACCTGACAAGAGCACCAAAGGGCCACGGATGTACTTTAACCCCTTCAGACCTGAATTATGTTTCAAGTTTCTGAAAAATATAAAAGTACATTTTCCCAGCTCATGAGGCTTCTATTAATGAGACCAAATGAAAAAAATATATATATATATTGTCTTTCATTGTAATATTTTTTGTCCATTCCAATGGACGTCAGGTCAAAACAGGTGTACTTCCCAAAAAATGTACCAACATGAAATAAATTAATAAACATAAAATTTGTTGGTCTATACTTTAAGCTTTTTCTCAAGGTCAAAAACTTTTCAGCAGTATACCATTTCAACTTTAATTTTGAGGTTTTTGTTTTACAGATTGCACATTGTTTGTAACAAACTAAATATCTTTGAATCAATCAATATGGTCATTTTAAAGTCATTTTCTGTATGCATCTTTCTTTTTTTTTAGATCAAAAACTTGAACATTATAACATTGCAACTTTAATTGTAAGGTTTTTGCTTTATAGATCGCACATTTGTTTATTCATAACAAAATAAACCTAGGAATCAATGAATGCATTCACGTTAGAGTCATTTCCAGTGTGCATCTTTGAAACAATTTCTCTGTTAACGGTTTTCTTGTATTTTTACAGTACATTACTGGCAGCACGGTTGCCAGCAAGTTACTGTATTTCGATTTCCAGTAACTGTAGTGTAATTCACTTTACAGTGCACAAGATCAGTACTGTAGACTACAAAATAGTACTTTACTGTATTTTTACTGTATTTCGTAATTTGGTCTGCTTCTGCTGTAATTAATTATACGGTATTGTACTGTAATATCTATATTGATACATTACTGCTAAATATTATTGTAATTTTCAAAATAGTTTCTAATAATGATAATATTATATTATAATAATATAATATAGTTATTAGGAAAATATATAGTAGGAAAAAAAATACTATGGAAGTCAATGGCTACTGTCAACTGTCTTGTTACCGACATTCTTTAAAATATCTTATTTTGTGTTCAGCAGAATACAGAAACTCATACAGGTTTGAAACAACATGAGGGTGAGTAAGTGATGACAAATATAATTTTTGGCCAAAAATTCAAATTAGCCCATGATTTACTCACCCTCTAGCCATCCTAGGTGTATATGACATTCTTCTTTCAGACGAACACAATCAGAGTTATATAAAAAAAAATGCCCTGGCTCTTCCAAGCTTTATAATGGCAGTGAATGGTTGTTTCTGTTTTGAAAGTCCATAAAAGTGCATCTATCCATCATAAAAGTGCATCTATCCATCATAAAAGTGCATCTATCCATCATAAAAGTGCATATCCATAAAAAAATATTAATATAAAATAAAATATGAAAAATATTCATATTCAAGTTGCGCTTTAGATTGAAGTCAAATCCGTATGTTCATTTGGCCGGAAGCTAGTTATTTTACTTTATAAAGTTTTAAATACGGATATTTTTCTTACATCTCCATCTTCCTCATCACTCCACATAAAGTCAACATCTGAGATATTTCCATCAGCTATATGTTCAAGCACTTCAAGAACTGTATATTCTGCATATGAAAAAGTTTCAAAAATGTATCGGTACTGTGATATAGATTTTTTTATATAAGAAATTTCAATCAGCATTACTGGACATGTGATTTCAGTAACAGGCTTTCGAACCCACTGTCCATTCTAATGGACAGACACATTTGAAAAAATCCTGATTTAAAACGTGCAATTCTACAATCGATTTTTAACTTTAATTAATAAGTTCAATCTTTCTATTTTACATACAAACTATGAAATAATGGCAAAAATATATAAAAAATGTCAATAAAACCATAGAAAATGTTGCTTGCTTCTGTGCTTGGAGTGAAGTGCTGCCATGCTTCTCTTCAATGAAGTGTATTTTTTTATAATTACTACATGCAGAGCTTTACTGCCATTTGATTGGATGACAAACGTCCAATCTCATGGACTGCAGGCTTTAAACTAGGTGAAATGCTCCAGAAGTAAAAAAAAAAGGAGGCTGACATGTGATGTCCATTGTAATGGACGCAGGGTCTGAATGAGTTAACCCTGTAAAAAAACAAGCCAGGCCAGTGGTGTGGGGCTTTTGCCGTGGACAGAGGAGGGAGGTGTTTTCTGCAAGTTTCTACTTTTGTGAAAGAACAGCCAGAACATAGGAAGTGGAAGGGAGGACGCAGGGTGGAGATGGAGCGGTTTACCTACAGTGAAGTGTTTTTGTATTGCATTTGCTTCCAAACACACACACACAGGGGCAGGTGAGGCGTTACCCCTGTGGTTGGCCACACACTCTCTCTTTCTCTCACACACACTTCACAGAAAACATTGAAGTCAACCTCATCCCTGTGATGGCAAAGCTGTATGTTCAGCAGCCATTACACCAGTCTTCAGGGTCACATGATCTTTCAGAAATAATTCGAATATGCTGATTTGGTGCTAAGAAACATTTCTTATTAACAAAGTTTAAAAAAAATATATATATTTGAAATGTTTTGTAATAATGCAAACATCTTGAATAATTTTTGTTCAATTTAATGCTTCCTTGTTCAATAAAATATATTTTTTTCTTTGAAATCTTACTGACCCCAAACTTTTGAATGCTAGCACAAAGACTCTTTTTTTTAGGTGTGAACATGTACAGTATGCTACTGTTTCACCACAGCTTGGACTACATTACACTTTGTTTACCCTCTACATGTGACTAACATTCACAAGTAGATGGCCAATCACAAGGAAACATTAAAACTTCCCCTTTGGTTTTTCATGTCTGCTCCCTCGTCTAGCTTCATGCATCATAACTCCTGAAAAAGAACTGAAAAAAAAAGTTTGGCATGGTGATCACAAAGCATTAAGCTGAGTCCAACAGATCTGGTTGCACCCTTTGGACAGGAATTAAAATGACTTACTGTAACTGTTAAGTGAATATTACAAAGAAACAAAAGTCATCCCAGCTAGCAGTCTGTCTAATGCAGTGAGTCACTTGGGTTTGAAACTCTAGCCTTTCTGAGGGAATGACTGGACACGCCAAACAAACATGAAAACAACAACAACGGTTGGCGCCACCCATGGATCAGAGAACAAATCCTTTTCAGCAGCAGCTACGGCCAAGCATGACTAGCCAGAAGAATGCGCATGGTTGGCTGGCCAGTCATAATGGAGGGCTTCTTTTCAGAGAGGGATTGTGGGGAAATTCCATGATTCTGTTCTGTCGCAGGATTTGTTGAAGGGATTCCAAGAGCCCAGAGTTTATTGTTCTTCAGACCCCTTGAAACAATGACATAAGCAACGGGAGTGGAAGGGGGGCGCTGGGGTCTACGCCAGAAAGATGCCAAAGCCAAAAGTTTACAGCTGTCGCTAAAAATTATTTTCATCAATCTGCAAACCTTCCTCTGCTTTACTCTCTCCCTCTACTTTTTTTCCTAAAAGCAGCCGTGCGCATATGTGTGTGTGAGCGTGCGCGTGTGTGGTAGGCCCACTCAGGATTCCGGATGACGAGTCTCTGTTTTCTTAAGACTGAAATAATCAGAGATGTCAAGAGCAATGGGCGAGAATGAGAGTCAAGCACTCTAATAAAAGACCGGGATCATTTTTGGAGGCCATATCGGCAAGAGTGGCAGGGATTTCGGCATGGAAACTGGAGTCGGCTCCCTGTTTGTTCTGTCCTGTTGAGGCTCTTGTAATGTTATGGCCACTGTGGAACCTGTAAAAGTTGATGCGTCTAATTTCGGCGGATGGTGGCCAGTTTTCAGTCAAGATCCATTTCTGGTTGGACCCTTTGACAAAATGAGGGAAAATGGAAAAATACATTTAAAATTGATTCAAAACCTCCATTTCCTTCTGTTGGATAAGCGCGTCTGGAGCATGTAAAACTCACATGCGCACACACACATAAGCCCCCTCCCAGCCTGTGCACAAAGCCCAGTGAATTTTGTGGCATATTTTACCTATTATCCAAATGACTGCCTTCCACAAAACCAACAATCAAGCTTTGCTTTTATCTCTTTATGAGCTGATTAAGTTAACAAGCTTCACATGTGGCTCTACGGACATGGCTGTAGTTAGTCTCCGGGGGGCTTCATCCCGCTCTAATAGATTGAGATGATAGCTCATTGCCAAATTTTGGAGGAAGAAGAATGAGGGATTCATTTTACAGCCAGCTTTATTAGCATTTAAGGTTGAGCATGTAGTAGCGGGGCAATTTGAGAGCATGCATATGTGTGTGTGTGTGGTGGAGGCTGACTAAGGAAGAATAAGTGGGCGGCGGACGCAGTTCTGGCCTCAGCCTGAGAATGCCATCTGGTCCTGGGCCACGGGCATGAACACAGATGCTGCATTTATTTAGCACACTGCATTTCCTCCAGAGCTCCACTTTCCTTTAATAGGCATCACTAAAGGAGCGAATCAGACGTTCTGTGGTGTTTTTCTGGCTGTTGAGGACAAGAGGAGAGCTGTGAAAGAGACAGACCACCGGGTTGAGAGGCCTGCGGTTGTAGCACCTCACCCTGGGGCTAGACGGAGTCATATTTTTGCGGTCAATATTTTTTTTACCTTCAAAGATATGCATTAGTTGTGTGAGTCAGTATCTGCAACAAAACTAGCTGACAAAAAGTATTGCACCCAAATTCCCTTTCATAGCACATACTAAATTCGATTAAGAACATTCTTCCCTTGTCACACACATAGCAGGTGTAATTGATTTCATTAATCTGACGTTAACATGTTGCTAAGCTTAGCAGCAACACTCTTCTTATAAGCAAAAAACATAGCAAAAAAATGCTGTATAAAATAGTACACAGAACTAATTACACTTAACTATTTTTAGTGATATACATGAAATATGTTTATTTATATGTTTATTTGGCCATTGATGAAGTACATTGTGCACATACTACACAAATACAGTATGTGTAGTAGTATAAATACATTTCTACACACACTATATCTGCCTTTATACTACTTGGCATGTTCCTTTGACAGGTCAACTAAGGCCTACATTTTTTTTTAAATGTGTTTATTTGTCTTTGACTTGTTTTCCAGTTGGAATATCTAAAAAGTACTTGGCATAAAATAAAAGTCCACAATGTGTAAAATTTTAAGACTTGTTTTCATTTTCATCTTAAATATAAGTATTTTGTCTTACTACACTAGTACATTTTTACTTTAAGTATAAACAAGAAAATCTGGCAGTGCAATAAAAAAACACTTATATTCAAGATACAAACTACGAAAACATGTCTGAATATTTTATGCAGTGTTGATTCTCAAATTCATCGTAAGGATTTTTAGATATTTGATCTGGAAAACAAGACAAAATACTGCCTTTTTAAAATCTGGCAGTACCTGTGGCCTCAAAGAATAGCAAAGTGTCTGCTGAAACTCAGAGGCAGTTTGTCATACAGATACTGTATCAGAAATACTTAGAATGAGACAATCTACTCATTTGCTGGAAAAACAGTGAATCCTGAGCCTTGTTTAACAGATACTTTGTGTAATTGCATTGGTATGTGTACCTTGCTGCAGGCTCTGAATGGGTACTGCTCCTTGGCCCGGTTGTAGGTTCACCAGGCCCTGTCTTTGTAGATTAAGAATGTGTTGCTGCTGTAGTTGTTGCATCTGGATCAACTGCTGTTGGAAAGCCAGCTGTTTATTCCCCAACTGCTGCTGCTGAGAACGAGAGAGAGAAAGAGAGAGGCATGTTAAACAAACAACAAAACAAAGAGATGGGAAAAGTGGGAGGAAGAGACTTGGAGAGCTGCAGGATGGAGAGGGCGGGAAAGAGGAGACATTCATTGGTTTTTATAAGCCTTCAACCTCTTCCAGGACATGTTTAGATAGGACATATCCTGGAATAGAGATATTTTCCCCACCAATCACCAAAGCACATCCTGTGGCGGTAGACAACAGGCTTGGTTCAAAGTGTCGAAGTGCATTGTGAAGCCTCATGCATTAAGAGATAACGTATTAATCTGTGTGTGACAGTTCCATGTGGTCTAGGACCGACAACCAAAGACACGCTTGCAAACACGCTTGTTCATTCCTGCGTGTAGCAATCTGTTAGCATGTGGTTGGCTTGCAATTAACACGGCAATAAACAATGACTAACAACATCTGTGCGCAATGTTAAGAACAGTTCCAGATTATATGACATCAGATGTTTATCATTTTACAATGAGGCTTGGTATTTTTTCACTATGCATGAAATGTGTTTTGTGAAACGTGAGAAGCATGACTCCCAAACTCTCTTGCACTGTTTAATAAACAGGTCTCAATGTGTGTGGATAGTCATCGTTCAGCTTTCAAGAGATTTATTTTTGTTCCAGCTGACTTCTGGTGACGTTTAACAAAGAGAAACCATTTTATCAGCTATGACATAAGCACAGTGCACTCCAAGACTAGCCCTAAACTTATAAAAATCCCTTCAGATCTTTAGCCAGAGGTGAGAAAGAACAGAAAAAGTGCCAAGGTGAAGAAAAGGCTGGAAAAGACCAATTTAAAAGTGATGCATGTATTTTGTGTTTAAAGTGACCTAACATAGCATGATTGACTCAACTGATGACATTTTGAGAGTTTGTGCCAGGACTACACTACCATTCAAAAGTTTGGGGTAAGTACGATTTTAATTTTTTTCTAAAGAAACTAAAAATTGAATTGATCAAAAGTGATAATAAAAGACATTTACAATGTTACAAAAGATTTATATTTCAAATAAAGCTTTCCTTTAGAACATTCTATTCATCAACAAATACTGAAAAAAGTCAAAAGTTTCCTTTGATTAAATATTTATTTTGCAACAAATCAACATATTACAATGATTTCTTAAGGATCATGTGATACTGAAGACTGAAGTAATGAGTGCTGAAAATTCAGCTTTGCCATCACAGGAATAAATATAAAAATATATATATATATTCAAATAGAAAATAGTTATTACTAGTTATTAATATTACTTCACAATATTTCAGTTTTTACTGTATTTTTGATTAAATAAATGCAGCACAATGAGACTTCTTTCAAAAACATTACATTAAAACATTAAAAACAAAAATCTTACAAACCCTAAACTTTTGAACAGAAGTGTACCTGGTTTTCTATATATCCGATAAGGTCAGTTGGTGTCGTGGTGATAAATATCCTCCTTCCTGAACCGGCCTGAGTCAAATCACTGTTTCCAGCAACACGCTTTTTGATGTTCCCCCAATGAGAGATGGGCCTTATCTCCTTTAAGATAACGGCACAAAAAAGTGGAGGGGAGAGAGAAAAATATGTTGAAGGAGGGAAGGAAAATAAAAAAGGAAAATAATTAAAGGTAGTTTCTTAATCTCACTGTCAGAGAAGTGGCTTGAGGCCACGACCCGAGGCACAAGGCCTCATGGGAAAGGGCCACATGGGTCAACATCAACAGAGAAGAGAGAAAACACAAGCCCTTCCCAAAACTTACTGAGCTGCTTTGTTCCCTACAGTACACCCTTACATACGCAAATCAAATCCTCGATTTGGAACAGGCAGCATATAATCAACTCATCAGCAATCAACTCACACTTGATTTCAATAGACTGACATTAACATGGTGCTAAGCTAAGCTAACTGAGTATAATTCTATACTTTATAAGCAATGATCTGTCATGATTATGTGCAACATACTTTTTGCTTTCTGACGAATTCGAAATTGAGCAACAACATTACAAAATTGCCTCAAATAGCGACCTTTTTTTATTTTATAATTACACCTAATTTCCGGCAACGTTCAGCACGTAAGCGCACCCATAAACACACAAACAAAGAAAAAATTTGAGAACATCTGAAGTATTTTTCAAGAATTGCACTTACGAACTTTCGTAGACTTTTTCTAAATAAATTTCTTAACTTCTTTCTTAGTCTGTCCCCAACTCTCCGTGGAGAGACGCACCTGTTCTCCCCCCTAACTTTGAGACCGAAAGATGTGAAAAAAGTGTGAACAAAGAATATTCAGTTAACAAACACACAACCGAAGAAGTGAGCTAATGCCAATATTCAGCATTGAATTCCTCTCTCTTCCTCCTTCCTCTTCATCCCCGTCTCCTCTCCTTTCTATTTCTCTCCCTGTTTCGGTCTCATGAGACACAGTTCAAGTTCTTTAACACATTGTGTCTGCACGCTGTTTACATTAGATGCAGTTGAGTGGCTAAAGCTAGCGAAGTAACAGGCCTGTCAGCTTGATTTATGAGCACATCAAACAGAGTTTGGGCACGCCAGGCCCGACTGACAGCGCTACTTCATTAGGCTGACTCCAGGGTGACTCCACAGCTCAACCGTCAAACTGAGAGAGAGATAGAGAGAGAGAGAATAAAAAAAAAAACAGAAAAAGAGCAAAAAGTCTGGATTGATGATGCAAAAATGTGTTTGGCAACCATCTCTCCCGCTTTTCTATCCGTCTATCTCACCTCTCAACCTGCTTGTGTTGACTGGCAGTGATATGGGCTGCAATTAAAGCATCTTTTACTGAAGGAGAGCATAAAGTGTCATCTCTCCATCTTCAGATGCTTTACAAAAACAAAGCCCTGAATATAAGCTTCCGATTTCAATCACAGATTATATAAACAGGCCTTGATTGTTGAAATATGATGCTACTAATGAAGAATGAAAGGAAAATATATTTTGATGACAAAATTGATGTGGTGGTATTATGGCCAGAGAAACAGTTTGTTTCATGGTTTCAGGGGTCAGTTTCCTGTGCCAGTTGAACCAACAGCATGGCAGAACATGGAAAGGTATGTTTCAGAGGACGAAGAGCTTTAAAAGAGGGCTAGAGGGATGAGAAACAACACCACACGTTCTTGTCTTTCTACCTTCTTTCGTCTCCTCACGCCTGACTGCTTTACTCTTAGTCCAGTGCTGTCAGTGAACTCGTCCCCAGGGGAACACCACTACATGCCAGACAAAACACACACACACGAATCCTTAAACATGGCCTAATCCAATATGCTTAAATTTTCCTTCCTGTAATAATCCAGACAGCACGCATTTATCAGTTAAAATAAATATGTAATTGATATATATATATATATAAATATATATATAAATAAAAATATATTTTATTAAATTAATTCATAAAATAAAATATAATCAAATTAGGGGTGTAAAAAAAAAATCAGTTTAACGCGTAAAAAATATTTACCGTTTTCTTCTGTCATCCTTTTTCTGTCATCCTGTGCAATAGTATTAGCCTGGGAAAACCCAGACAACTTCCGGCAAATTTAGATTTGCTCTGAAAGTTAGTCTGGCAAAGAGCTCATTCAAGCCCATTTCCAATCCGTCGAAATCTAGGCACCAATCAGAAACGTTGGGGCGGGCTTTACACGATGACGACAGCGCTGGGATTTTGAAGCAGATTTTGTAGCCTACATTACAAAGATAAATGCCGCCGTCGAACATCACTCGTTCGAATCAGCTATCGTGTCTGTTTTAAGCGAATTTGAACGTTTCCTTTTAGTTAAAAACCGAACAAAGAACAACACTCGGAGATGTTTTTTCCGCCGCTCTGCTTTATACGTCATCTCCTTCATCCCTCTGATTGGTTTTAGGTCTATCCGCGACGTCCGTTGGTGACGCCCCTCTGGAAATGATTTGTCTATGACGCTTTGCCAGACCATAACTCAGTTACAACTGAGAATGGTCTGGTTTTAACCAGCTACAACAGTATATGATCGCACTATCATTCATTCAGGTGTAAAGAATTGTGAGGCAGGGGTGTCTCACCTCTTTGGCCTGCTTGCTGTTGCTGGGTAATTTATGCAATGAAGGCAGTGTTTGATTATTCAATGTTTGTATATTTCCTACCTGTTAGCAGTGGCGGGGCCAGGGGGTGGCTCGGGGTGGCCATGGCCACCCTTGGCTTAAGCTTGGCCACCCTTTTGGCCACCCCTCTCACAACTGCTGTTTCTGTCTCTCGGTCTTTTTTTCTTTCTTTTTTTTTACAAGAATTGCGTTTTTAAAACACAGAACCGTATCTTACGACCACAAAAAACGTGAGACTTTTCAGACGCGCACTCCAACTTCACCTCAGCGCCAGGCGCAAGTCAAACGAGTGCAGAAATGTACAGGTGCTGAATAAGCTTTAGCAGTGATCGGAGCATAGTAAATAACAGAGTCGATGTTCCTCAACTGGTGGGTTGCAAGACTGGTTGTTTTGAGTGAGTCGCATATGTCCAGTCAAAGAAACAACAACGTAATTCTCTTTTTTTCTGATTCTACTTTTACTTTGAAATATATGTGTGAAAGCTACACTTCCGTCAGATGCGGAGAAAAGCGCGTTGTCCTGAATCAGTAGGCTATCTGCGGTAAGATGAGATGTTGCAAGGTCAACAAACGTCAGTAAAACTAACTTTTTACTGTCCTGTCAGACGTTGTACTGTACTTGCACATCACGCGCAAATTTTCTGTCATCAATTAACTCATGAAATAATCAAAAAGGCGATCAAATCTGTGTCAAAACTGCATGCATGTATGTATTTGTTATAGGCTATATGAGTCACATATGTCTAGACTCAAATATTCTGCCATAAGGCACAAACTGATAGGCTATGTGTTTTTTTAATGTACAAATAAATGTGAGCACTGTGCATTTATACTAGAAGATAGGCGGTAATTTTGCGATAATTTGTAAAGGACAAACAAAAATGGATAATTTTTAAATCCATAAAATAACTAATTTTACATTCTGCCATTTATGTGCATTTTGACTTGTTCACATTCTTGCACATAGCGATTCAAAAGAGATGTTTCCCCCCTTTTTAATTAGGTATGATAGAACGGTTTAGATTCTTTATATTGACAACTAATATAGAAAGTTAAAGAGTTAATTGATTATATAAAATTCAATGAAGGTTAAATAATCTTTGAACCACAGTAGTTATCTGCATGTCTCATCCATGAAGGTGCAACAATGTTGGGGGTTTTGAGAACCAGAATCATGCTAACTGAGCAAGTTTACTATATGACTAAAGAACTTTAGCTATAGTGTGTGTCCCCTTTATTAATATGCCTGGAGGTGGTAAGTAGCTAATAATAAAAAAAAAAAATCAAATTCACTCAGTATTCCATGATTCCTAATTCACTACTCTCTCAATTACAATTGAGTACAAATGAACTGTATTCAGTTGTGTAGGAACAGTCCAATACATTATTTAAACTAATTATTATGTTAAAATAATTAAGATTTATGTGCCACCCCAGACTGTTTGCTGGCCCCTGCCTGGCCACCCCTATGAAAAAATCCTGGCTCCGCCACTGCCTGTTAGACCTAACTGAAAATCTTAAATCACTGTTTACAAGGTTACATAGGTCAAAAACAATGAAAACAATAACTTTTTTTGTGCATTTTAGCAGGGCAGGCAAGAATTTGAACCGGCCTGACTGTGCCTGTAGAAGAAAAAAAACCTTAGTGTTAAGTCGTGATATATTAAAGGTATTTTCAGTATTGGTATCAGTGACACTGGGCTTTATTCACAGTGCTTAGTAAAGATGTCATTAAACAATTTTTTTTTTTAAATATACCATCTTTATGTTGTTTCTACATTATTTTGGAGATTCAATATGAAAGTATTACAATATAAAAATATATTAAAAACAATGTTAGGTGAAAATAATCGCAGAAAAAATGTGAATAATATATATATATATATATATATATATTTAATAAATTAACAGCACTAAATAAAATACTTAAATACAAATGAACCATTTAAATAAATAAAAAATCATTTTAAATTCCAACATCCAACCTTAAATTAATAATAATAGTAATAATAATATTATATATAATAATAGTAATAATATAAAATACAAGTAACTAAAAATTAAATAATTAAACCTATTTTAATATTAATTTAATTTTAATTTGAGAAAACAGGTGGTGGTACAGTAGATTTCCAACCTAATAAAATTGTGTGGTGTAGTAGCAGTAAGGAGTACTTGGGTTTCTTACCGAGACAGTAACGCAAAAGCACACGCTCAGTATGTACGACTGGACTGCAGCGTGTTGGCCAAGCATTCTTGTCTTGAGTAGTTGCATAGTGCCAAATTTCAGGCCAAGTAAAGAGGCCCTGAACAAACGTGAGCTGATCCGCGGGGAAGAGGAGCTGACCACTGCCCTCTCGATTTAATTTCCCTACTCAGAGAGCACACCATCTCCCTTGCTCTAATATTTAATAAGGGAAAATGTCTGAAAAACTCCTGAGGCCTTGAATAAGGTTAGTCATGACTTTTTTATACCTTTCCCCTCCCTCTCACTTTTCAATCTTTTTTCTTTTCTTTTTTTTCCTTCTGTCTCTGTCACGTTCCTTGGCTATCTGTGGAAAATGTCAGGATACTGGTCTCATTTGAAGTGTGTGTGTGTTTCGGGCACCTTGTGCATTTCCCACGCATTTGCTCTATCAGTCACTATATTGTCTAGGGCAGGGATGGGCAACTTCAGTCCTGGAGGGCCACTGTCCTACAGAGTTTAGCTCAAACCCTGAAAAAATCACCTGCCTATAACTTTCTAGTAATCCTGAAGGGCTTGATTAGCTTGTTCAGGTGTGTTTGATTAGGGTTGAAGGTAAACTCTGTAGGAGAGTGGCCCTCCAGGACCGAAGTTGCCCATCCCTGGTCTAGGGCATATCTAACGGGTCTTAATCCCTGTCGTCCACAGCCTTAGCATCCTCCCCCACCTCAGTCTCTCACCTGCTATGAAGTCAAGAGCTCATTCATTTTTTGATCCTCTCAGTCACACATACAGATGACTGCAAACAACCCTCAACCCTATGCAGCTTAGATGGGATTTGTCCTGTTTGCCATTTGTGGTGGAGTTGTTAGCTGAGACCATAAATACAACTGAGACTGTAGATTATTCTCTCATTTAAGTCAGTCTCCTAACATGGTTAAGCTGGTTAGGCTAGTTAAACCAGCCAAAAATCACCCTAGTCAGGCTTGGAGACAATCTAGGCCATTTTAAAGACTAAGCCAGCTAAGATTGCTTTGAACATTTTGTTTAGCAGGGCTAACCTCAATTCCACAAATTCACTGATCTCATTTCATTTAAACAGGATACCACTTGTGCTAGCAGCTATGTGCTCATCTCTGCTGTTTTGATGGTTCTGGGCTCATTTTAAATAATTAGTCTGTAAAACCATCTGACTGACCAGTTAAACCTTCTTAATAACAGTTTAGTGAGGTTAGGAGACAAGCTGGACCAACTTAACAAGTTTAGGGAGGCTGGGAGACTAAATAGACCATCTTAAACCAGGTGGTCCTCACTGCAGAACACGAAATCCAGGGGGAGGAGTTGGATCCAGATCCAACTCCTCCCACCTTACATATAACTAAACCTACCCATCTCCGCCCCCTGATCCCTAATCCTACCCATCTCCAACCCCTAATCCCTAACCCCACCCCTAATCCTACCCATCTCCACCCCTTAGATCTGGATCCAACTCCGCCCCCTGGATCTCGTGTACTGCAATGAGGTGCTACTGTAAAAACCAGAAAGCTATCTTAGGTTGGTTTGAACTTGTTTAGCAGGACTCACCTCGAACCCTCAATCCACTGGTGGTCACCTTTCATCAACACATGGTACCTCAACCTTAACTGTGCTAGCAGATATGTGCTAATCTCTGCTGTTTTCAGATAGGTAGGCTGTAAAACCAGTTAAACCAATTTTTACACACCAGTTTGTAGAGGCTGGAAGACTAACTAGACTAAGCTACACAAGCTTTGGTAACTTGCATGTTGCTAGCAACTGTTCAAGCAGCTATGTTCTAATCTCTCCGCTAAGCCGTTTGTTCATTAAGCCCTCGCAGAAACTCCTTGATTGAGTTGTATCAGATATAGCTCACGCCCCTAACACACAGGCCGCAAAAGTTTGGATTTCATTTGACCGCCAGATTAGCGCAGATCTCCTCTCCCGCAGTGCGCAGACGGGTGATTATGCCCTCGCCTTTGTTGTGCTGCAGTCTTATCCTCAGTGATCCAACATGATTCCCCCTCACCTTCATTACCCACACCAGGTCCTTCTCCTCCTCCAGTGCCTTAATTGACAATTAAAGAAACTCGACGACTCCACCATAGTGGGTTGTAATAGGGATTTTCCAGTAGGCTTAGCAAGCGGCGACTTGTAAATTAATACTTAACGAGTATTAGCGGGGAAGCCCATGGTAAGGTTTGGAGCATGACTTTGGTCAATGACAGAGAAATGAAAATCCATATTCCCAAAATGTCTTAATCCGCATTTTTGAATCACTTAATACACAAAATGCAATTGAGTGCTTGACAGAGGAGGGAAAAAAACATTTGTCTGTTTTCCTACAGAGGATTTCATGTAATGCTCAGTGATTACAGAGCCTTTATAAGGTCTGTGCCGCACAGTGCAGCACACAATCAGTCATGCAATCATCTCACATATGAGAATACAGTTATTTTCAAAGAGTTCATTTCTGGCTTTCAAGAGGATCTGGCCTCTGCTGTGTGACAAATGATGTGTCAGCCTTCTTGAGGATGCTCATCTAGGGTGCTATGAAGGTGAAGTACACTGTGAAGCGCACTACAGAGGGAAGGGGCACGAGTGTCTCACCTCTTTGGCCTGCTTCCCTGCTTGCTGTTGCTGGGTAAGGAGCTGGAGGTGCAACTGCTCCTGTTGCTTCTTGTAGTACTCCTGCAGCTAGACAAAAAGAAAGAGAGAGAATGATTTTAATTGAACAGAAATGTAACACTATGCTGCAACAAAATAAATAAAATAATAGGAAAACTAATACAAATAATAATATGAATAATAATTTAATACATTTATAAATAAACTAAAACATTAATAAATGAATGAATAAATTAAATAAATTAAACAAACACAAATATCTGCATCAGATATTAAAAACTTATTTTATTTACCCCATATTGGCTTAAGCATGAAATCGCACTAAATTATTACATTTATGCTTAAAATATTCTTAATTCAAGATATATTTTCTGACAACAATTCATAATATTTTATGGTATTTTGCATAGCTTTTCAGTCAATTTCTTTTATTATATTTTTTGTTGTTGTTTTATGGATGTTTAAATATTTTACTAAAACAAGAACATTTAAAAAAAAGAATTAGTGAGAGAAGAAAATGTGTTCGGTGTTGCAAGGACATAGCAAACATATGTAGAAATAAGGAGCACTTTAACAAAACATCAATGACATACTCTTTAAAACAAACAGATTCATCTGTAATGCAAATCCTATTATGAGGGGATGTACCTTTTCTCTCCATTTTCTTTATTACCACACACAAACCCAATAAAGGACATTTAAACATCAGTACTTCTCATGTAAAGAGACACCATGGCACAATAGGCTGCACCAAAACTGTCCTGTCCATCTGCTTACACTGGAAAATGTGGTGCTATCAAATGAGTTGCATAACACTGGGTTTCTAGGATGAGGTAGCTGGGGTGCAAGGAGTCGCATATGTCTAAAGGCATCAAAAAAATGAAAACAGGATAAAACAAGATCAGCTTCTTGCTTAAGGGCTAAAGTGCCTCCATAATAAGGCATATTCATCTTTTTTCAGCATTCCTCTAAAAGGCAGCTTAAACACCTGGCAGGCGGCGTATGAATGTGTCCTGTAAATCATCTGTCCATCCTTCTCTTGGCGTGGCAAACCTGACAGTGTGGAGACAGGCTTCCTTATTTATGATTGACTGAACTAAAACACACAACACCTGTCTGGGAAAGCGCTGGTAAAATTTGCCCTTCGCTTCTAATCTCGGAGCAGTTTTTGTTACATCCTGAATTACAGTTATGATTAAAACACAGGTGGTAGAAACCAGCCAGAGATCAGCACAAAAAGCCAATTTATGCCTTAAGCATCTGAGAGATCTGAAATACAGACACCTGCCTGATTCCTACACTGATGCTTCCCTATTCCTGGTACTATCCATTAATTATGTGCAGGAAAGTTTATTTAACACAAAATCATGCCATTGTCAAATGGAAAAAGCAGCTTTTAGATGTTTTTATGGTTCTGTTTGCTTGCGTGAGGGTTTTATGTAGTTAATAAAGCACATGAAAGGTGTTTACACACTGGTTACTTATTCAGTGCTCAGCTGAATGAGTCTCTATCTCCTCTACACAGGTAAACATAGACCTGTATGTGCTTTATCACTGTGAAACACCTCACCATGGCACACCTTGCTCTGATTAAAAGCTTTGGGAATAGACACAGGCATGTGGAAGTCAATGATTTTAAGTGTGCATAGTAGGGTTAGGGGTATGTTCCATTCTCCAGAACAATGAAGGTTATTACTTATTAGACAAAAACAAGAAACAGGTGTGTGAGGGCAGAACAGCCGAGATAGGATTAATCATTTACAATGATCAATTACTAATTCTGTGAAAACTTCAGGATGTGGGGAAAAAAGTGTTTTTATTAGTTGCTAAGGCAAACATCACTATTAATATTCTTCATACTTAGTGTTGGGGTCTGATCGAAACTTCTTGTTAACCGAGGGTCTATTGAAGATATAGAATATTGTGGAAAGTTTCATCACATTTCTAACTATCTGAATGAACGTTATTGTAGTTAATGCTCATTCAGATAATCAGAAATGTTATGAAAGTTTGAAGTAACATGCCTTTGATGCTCACTTGAAAACCTGGAAATAATTTTCAAAAGAGAAAAAACAAGAAGAAACTGTATATGTGTGAGGTTTACACTGCCAGAGATTTAAAATAATACTCTCTTATTTCCTGCATTCGAAGTAGAAAAAAAATATCAAACATGAGAAAGGCTTTCTGTTACGCTACCATGTTTACTTTCGCCTGTTTGAACTAGCTGCTACTTTCAACTAGCCACTCTTTTACAGAGTCCTAAGTGAGACTGGCTTGCACCCACTAACACTGTCATTACACATCTCCAACCGTAGCTCTGGCTAACCGCAGTGGCCACCGCAGACCCACCGCTGTTTGTTTTACTTTCAGATTATTAATTTACCCAGGAAAGCCTATTAAGATTAAAATCTCAGCTTTGCATGGATGACCTATCTGACATGGAAGTACATGTTGACCGAAAGAGCAGAGCACGGAGGCCCTTGGACACGCAGGGGCAGTGGAGGAGCGCCTGGGGGACGGCGGCTAGAGCTGCTGGAGAAAAGTAGAATAATGATACCCTCATTAACTCCTTATCACATAATGTTTACAGATGTAATGCAGCCTTACTCAAGGAATGAGGCACTCAATAGTGGGCTACATCACATATCACAACTTAAAAAGAAAGACGTGACAAAATACTTTTAATACTTTGTGTGTCATGCTCAAGAACAATTTCTCTAAACAAATTCTTCAATAATTATTATGCATGTAGCTGTTCCTTACCTCAAATTAATTAAAATAAGACTAACTGGAATAGTTGTACTTAAAAAAAAAATTCAGGACATTTTAAGACAAACCATTTAAAATGATTATTTTTTAACCATTTAACCTAAAATGTTTAACCTGAGATGTGAAAAAAGGCAAGTTATGGATGGGGTCCATCAACTGTTTGGTTACTGACATTCTTCAAAATATCTTATTTTGTGTTCAACAGAAGAAATAAATTCATACAGGTTTGAAACAACTTGAGGGTGAGTAAATGATGACAGAATTTTCATTTATAAGTGAACTATTTCTACTAATGCATCATTGCCCAAACAGAACTTAAAAATATATAATTATATTTATAAATGACTATCACCCAGAGAGCCGTTGCCTTCAACAATTTTAATGGTGTATTTATATACTTCATACATTGTACATATTTTTATTGCTTTTTGTTATGTATTGTTTATATTATTATTGTGTGTTTGGTGGAATTGAAGAGCTTTTGTGTTTCATGTTTACCAAGTGTGCATAATGCAAATGAGTTGTTATTGTTTTGGTGAATGTCTGTTTCTCAGATCATAAAGTGTGCCCCTCTATGAAAACGAAATACCTCCCCATTATATATGTTCTGGCGACGGCCCTGTCCCAGGTCAAACTACCAACAAGCCTGATGTTCAACCATTCCAGGCTTCTCTTGGACCAACCCGAGTGTACAAAACTCTTTGGTCGTAAACGAGCCTTGAACTCGTTCATATCCCACTGTTTTTACCAGGCGAGTGGTTCTACCGAGCAACACTAAAACACTGTTTGCCCTCTACAAAATCCATCTCACACCACTGCGTCCTTTTTTACTACCTGTCGCCATGCCGCTCTATGGGATATTGAAGGTGAGCTACCTCGCGTCTGTGATGCCGAGCCACGGCCATTTCCAACAGAGAAAGTCAGCGAGCCGTAAGGTGTGAAGGGAAACTCCATTTACAACACTAGAGGCATTTGGATCGCAATATGTCGCCCGTCTCTCGGTTTAAACTTTCCTCCACGCCTCGCTGCCACCCGACTGGCCCCGCTGCCTCTCGCCCACTCATTACCCCTTTAATTCATGCCAATATGAAGCTGAATAGTTGCAGGAATAATTAAAGAATAATTAAGGGTTTTTTAATGATTTGATTCAGTGGGCCCTTTTCACGTTAACTGCACGCCTTGAAAGGCATTCACCTTAGATTCCCATTATTGTGACCTTGGTTTTACTTAACAGCACAGAGAGGGGATAAAAAAAGGAAAAATATATCAGCTGGGCTGTAATTAAGGGTTGGAGGGATGTAAAGGTTAACTCACACATGCATAAGTGCACACGCATACATAAACATGTACTTGCTCTCTCTTTCCTGCGCTCGACTCGATCTTTGTATGTAAAATCATATTTGTATGGGTATTCACATGCAGAAAAATCCAAAGCCCACTCGTTCTCCCACACACACTGGGATGAGATCAGGGACGGATTGCTGTATGTGTGTGTTGGCAGGCTTTCTGATTGCTCCATTTGCCGTGTGCGAGAGAGTGAGCATTAAAAGCCACTTCTCACGTGGTTCATCACCACTGCGAACCATTAAACCCACTGGCTTTTACTGGAGATGTAAAACGGCCCATGAACGGTAACTATTTCAATTTCAATATCCTCGTTAAATATAGAATTTAAAAAAGAGAGAAATAAAGGGGGAGGGGGGGGGGGGGGACAAAAGTGCTAAGTTTCTTTCTCAAACAGCTGAATTTTGATTTCTGCGAGCGACTCTTGATAAATTTGTCAGATCTGCTTGGTGCAATTTATACTCGCCTAAAGCAACCTCCTCCTCCTTACTACTACTGTAAATCAATTCTGCTCTGTCAAGATCATTTATGTAACAGAAAACTCTTTTTTTCCTCTTGTAGTTACGAAAAATAATCATACGTTCTTAATCAAAGAGGTTTCGGAGAGGTGCCTGACCTGATTTCTGCCTGAGAAGTGTGTGTGAAAAGGTCGAGGGTTGCGAGTTTTGGGACGGTGATAAATATTTGAGAGACGTGAGAGAAACGGGGTTGTTTGTTTCTTCATGTCTGCTCAGGGGCCACACCTCTGGCCTCCAGGCGATATCGCAGCGAGATAGCAGAGGCCATGCAACTAATAAACAAAGAAAAAGAGAGAGAGAGAGAGAGAGAGAGAGGTGGGAAGAGATATGGAGAAGTCTGGCTCAGCAGCTGGGTGAGAAACATTGTCCTCACTCTAACATAAGCGCTCCCTGACCGCCGGCGAGTCGACGTGTAGCGACACCAGCCAAAGGAGGCGTAGTCGACACTAGTACGCTAGTAAATGCTGCTTATAAACGCCAGAGCCAAGTAACATCAAAGCCGGGGAAGATATCATTCCGGGCATGCCTGTGAGGATGCAATCAAAGTTACACAAAACGCGATTACATTACACACTCTGACATCTACACTCAGGGCCTATTAACGGGGATCACACATGAATGTGCATTTACTGTGCCATCCGACGGCACTCTATAAAAGCACTGGCAACAGCTGAAGGATGTTCCGTCAAGCTGGCCGGATTCTCCTATTAAACGTATGGCTTGAGCAGTTAAGAGGGTCGGACGGGAGGGAACAAGTTTTCTTATGGAAGTATGGAACAAAGCGTCCTCTATATATTCGAGAAGGTTTAGAATGCTTGTTTTAGTATGTATCTCTTGGCGCCAACTTGATATTTTTCACTTAACATTAAGTTTTTGTGTAGAAGCCAGTTGACTGACTATTTTTCTTCATAATTTTAACTTTACTTGTCATAAATGTGAATTTATAAATGACCATTCTGATGCATTCAATTAATCAAATGACAGTAAAGACTAACATTGTTACAAAAAAAATCTATTTAAAATAAATTCTGTTCTTTTTAACTTTTCATTGATCAAAGAATCACAAAAAATGCACAAAAAATGCAAAAATGCAGTTTCCTCAAAAATAAACAATAAAAAGTAAACACTGATAATAAGAAATGCTTTTGAGCACCAAATCAGCATATTAGAATGATTACTAAATAAACAGAAAACACTTATTTTAATAATATTCCACAATTTTACTGTTTCTACTGATCGAATAAATGCAGCCTTGGTGAGCATGATTTCTTAGAATTACAACATTATTCTTGTAAATTAAACTATTTCTCACAACTTTGACTGTATTTCTCAGTTTCTGCTATCTCACAATTGTAACTTTCTAATAGTAGATATTTTTATATCTCACAATATGACTGTTTTTGTTTTTAAACTAAATATCACTATCTGTGGAAACAGGCTCATAGATGTCTATAATAAATAATAAATAAATAAAATAAATATTGAATTAATTTGATTAGCATAAAATAATAACTGACCAAATAATAAACCAAATAATGTCTTATGAAACTTCTTGAAAGCTATGATGTCATTTTTTGTTGGAAAATGATGGATTGTGGTGCAAAACAAGTCCCTGCAGCAGTTTTAGAGGACATGATATAGCAAATAGCGTATAGTAATATTTTGATTAGCCAATAAAACTGGCACCAACTGGCATTGAAAAAATTTACCTTTTGTGTGGTTTGTTTGGGCATGTCATGTCTGAACAGCCCAGACATTTACAAATATTGTTTTAAGTTCTGTGTGTGGTGACTGTGTCGGTGTGTGTGTGTGTGTGTGTGTTACCTGTTGCAGCATAAGGGCTTGTTGCTGTTGGAGTAAAGCTTGGAGCTGAGGCGGAGAGAGGATCTGCTGCATCTGCTGAGGAGTTATCATCTGTGGGGTCATCATTGCCATGGATACGGGCACCTAAAAAAAGCGGAAAATAAGTCCAATAAGTGACAGCAAACATGGTTGTGCATGTGTGTTTGAGCATCATAATCTGGAACAGTGCTTGTCAACTGGTTGGCCGTCACACTAAAATGTGTCACAGGTCTGAGCAGCATGGAAAAACCAAGTTAAATAAAAATTATAAAATGCATGTGATAAAATAAACAGGCTTATCAACTGTTAAGATGCTGAAGATGCCCACCTCTACAGTGAGATAAGCACATTCCCTCACTTTAACATGATACAAAGCCATTTCTGTTTTTCTAGCTTCATAAAGGAATGTTGTACTTCACTTTAATTAACTCTCTATCCTGTCATGGCAAAGAGAGTACACAAAACATCAGCTCTGTTGACACAATAGAGCTCCACACTGCTTGCATTGTAAAACCCTGGCAGTTTTTCCAAAAGAGAGAGAAAGAGTGTTGATCAAATCTTCCCTTGAGTATATAGTCTTTATCAGCCTGAAAGTACTTCAATAAACATAATATTATGATTTGTTATCTAGAGAATCACATCTTGGCAAAAATAACAAACAGTCTGATAAGATAGCTATCGGCAGGAAACAACTTGCAACAGTCTGGAAGTGAGAGCACAATTTGCTAGACAAGAACGAGGCGTAAAGATGGAAAGCGTGATTCTTATCTTATGAAAAATATGCAGAAAAGGAGAAATGGAAAGAGAGCCGAGCTCAACAATAAGGATTTCTCTCTGCAAGCCCAGTCGGGCCATTAGTTCAGATTTTTACTTGCCCAGCCAGGATTTTCACTGGACCCGGTATAGAGACTCATGCATTTTATTTTTATTTTATTATTAATATGCGCATATATGTATATTTATTACTTGAAGTTTCACATTGACTTATCTATGAAAACTCAATTTCCTTTTTTATATTAACCAGAAATTCTTTCTTATTTGAAACCTAAAAGCAAACAAAAAAAAACCAACAAAAAACTAACTAAAACTAGTTTGAAATAGTTTTTTTTAAACAAAAACTATTTAAAAAATACAAACAATTTGTTTTTAAATTTTCAGAAATAGCTCCATGAAACAAAAGTTACAAATTCATACAAACACTTATGCCGGAAAATGATGGCATACAAAACATCACTGATATGTTTGATGCTTCCAAGACTATTAATTCCTGTTAGTTCAAAACCTCATCTAGATAACTTTTTAATATGATTGATATCAGCAGAATTATCACACAAAACCAAATGTTTAAGTTAAGTTTGAGGCATAAAAACACATTGTACATGTACAAAAACAACGCAGGGCTGACACAATACAGCTAGTGCCAGTCCGTGAACTGTCCTAAAACTCTCATACAGGTCATGGGCATCCTTACTCTCTTTCTCTGTGTGAGAGAGAGATGGTTTGGAAAGGCCTAAAGGCAGGCCGCTAGTACATGAATATATCCTTTAATGCAGTAGTAGCGGCCACCCTGTGAACTTATGGGAAGTTTTTTAACGGGCCAGCAATTTCCTCCAGTACAATTTGCGGCTGCTTCCTCGAATGCAGCTAGCGATCTTCCACTGAGACACACACACACACAGCCGCTCCGTGGCGTTCCATTTATTTTCCTATTTACTGCTCAAGGGCCAGAACTGATCATCTCCCTGCAACTGCTCAATAAAAATAAAGCTATTTACACGGCTGGCTTGAAGCTGACATACGAGTGCAAACTACAAGCCAGCATAATACGTACATTTATCTACATTTTCCACTCAAAGAGAATAAAAAAGACAAGCAACGGCGTGACGACTTCCCAGTCCACTGCCAGTCCGATCTGATATTTGCATTCATTTGTTTTCATGCAGCGCCTGAGCGCTCATATTTTCAGCAGTTTATCTATTCGGAGCTCGAGGGCTCGTGAGTCGTGAGGAGGGGTGGAGGGAGGGGGCGAGATAAGGAGAGGAAAGACGAAGAGAGAGAGCTGTCAGACGCAAATTAAATCTGTAAAGGGCTGATTTGACTTTGTAAACAAGATTGGCGGTAAATACGAACACCGGCTCTTTTCCCCCGCCGGAAAGAGGGATGAAAGCTTGCGTTCGCGAGCTTCGTGGTTATCTGTGACTGTCCGATATTTTATTGTAAACGTCCCTATCACAATGAAATGAGCCATCCGTATCCTTCACTATGAGGAAGTGGGAACGCTTCCCAGAATCCATGACAGAGACAAAGAGGCAAAATGATGCACTCTTTTACCCTCTATGACTTATGTGCCACAAGACAGACACATTTTATGGCCTGGCGTGCCACTCACCTTGATTAATTATAGGCGTGACGCAGGTGAGGCTGTGTTAGACTAGCGCTTACAGCTAAAGCTAGCACGCACAGACACATTTCAGCTGATGATATCATGCATCTGATGCCATCGTGGGAGAGTGTTCGGCCCTCTGCCAAATATCATGCATCCACCTTTGATGACTTATATCAAGGGTTAAAACATCAAGGGCCCTACAATTACTGCTTTGAAAGCAAGTATGTGCTCCTAGAGAGGAAAAGCGTCTGAAACAAAGCCAGGGTCTCATTCGAGGCGAGAGCCCACAGCAGGCCAGTCGGGCCGGGACGTGATGTATGTGTGTCTGTGCACACATCGGGGTAGACGGAACGTGAGATAGGGCAAAAGAGGGGGCTCGGTGTGGCGGGCGCTTGGCGTCACGCCAATTTGCCACGCACGGCTGCTTGTCACCGGGAAAGAGCGAAATGAAAACCTGTAATTAATTGCTCCTCTGCATCCCATTCTCCCGCGGTGACAACCCATACATTCTATTTTATACACACGTTCATTGACATTTTCAAGTTGCAGGCGTAATAATTACCAGAGTTATAACACCTTCTATTGCGGCGCGACAGTGGGATTGACGAGCCGCCTGAATGCTGAGTTGTTAAGGTTTGACGCCATTAATTGCCCCTATAATCTAATATCACAAAGGCGGGCCATTACACACCATGAGCGGAGCGTGCAATTCGACACTACGGTTTCAGAGCAGTGCAGGAAAACAAAAGCGCGCCATTAGGGACTTGACGGCCGCTAACAAAAGCGCAGCACAATGCGGAATTATATTTTCATTCGGCTTTGTCTCTCGGCATAAATGATTCCCCCGTTCATTTGCCGCTGAATAGACCCAGTAATAGAGGAGCCAGAAACCCCAACCATTTGAAGTCAGGCATTTATTAAATACATTTATTTTTTTTCTCTCTTTAAATTAACATGCAAAGGAAAAGAAAGGCGAGGGAGATATTTTGCTCGATGAGCAGAAGCACAGCGGCGAGCACCTTGCTGTGAATTATCAAGCCTGAACACTCATTTACTATATTTTAAAAACAGAGACAAAAAGCATTCTCTCCACATATGACAAGAGAGAATAACAAAAGACACCTGTTGTGATGTGTTGTCAGTAAAGGGCTGGAAATTCCTCACATTTGGACCACAGGTCCACCCATAGCGGAGCTTCAATAGGCAGCCAAATAGACAAAGCTTTGAAGACATTATAAAAAAAAGCTATTCAATTGTTTAAAATATAACAATATATTTATAAAAATATACAAGATAAAAAACCATAAAAAATATATTAACAAAAATAAATAAAAACCATCAACCATTATGATCGATTTCCTCTTAGCTATTCAATAGACAATTTTTTGGCGGTTGCACCCAACCCAGTCTTTTTCACTTGAACGTAATAGGTCAAGGATTGGTGTGTTAACAGAGGTAGTTAGTCCCAACTGGTCAATGCTTTAACTACAATTATATGAGGGCAAAAGCATATTTGGGGGGAAAAAAATATATTTCATTATATTATAGTAGATGTATGACAACCGTGTATTTTTAATAGTTCTCATTCAATGTTTATTTATTTTTATTTTATTTAATGCATTTTAATTTTTACAAATTTTAAAAATAGTTTTCCTTTTCTTTAATTAGTCAAATGGCACCAGGTAACATAATAATCTAGAATTGAGTGCTCATAAGCAAAGACGGCATGGAGATTGCATCTTTAGTGAGTCCTATGCTAGCTGAACAATTGCCATTGAGATGAACAGGAAGGCTATAATAGCTTGCTCTGCAACAAAAGCAAATAATATCAGGGCTTATGCTATAATAACGTGTGTGTTTGAGAACGGCCTCCACCAATCAGTGGCACGCAGGTCAAGGGTCGTCTGCATAGGGCGGCTCTTGTGGTCATTTTAAGCAAATTTCACTTATATCATCCACCTTTAATCAGGTATGGGGGAGGGGTAAAACACACAGTCACTTTAGAGGTCAATACCGTAAATGGAGCTCATCTGTACAAGCAAAACCTCTTTTCGCACTCACCCGCAGCTTTGAGTTTGTAAGTGGCACGGCATCTGAACGCATCTGTCTGTGAGAGAGCGCATAATATATGGTGTGTATTTGATGGCCATCCCCTAAAACCATCTCCACAAGCTTCTGAGACTGTCTGCTAATGAGCCAGCTTCAGTGGCACCTCTGGTGCCTCCCACCACCATTAAGATTCACCAGCGCTGTCCACACGCACCACGAAGAGCTACCCACTACTGACAGGGGTCAGCTTCAATACAGAGAGAGAGAGAGAGAGAGCAGCGGGGGAGATGGCCGTTCGCAAGGAGCGGAGCAGTAATTAGAGGGGCTATTTGAAGAGCGAGTTTAACTGATTAACAAAGAGGAGAGATGGGAAATGAGGGAGAGAGAGAGAGAGAGAGAGAGAGAGAGAGAGAGAGAGAGAGAGAGAGAGAGAGAGAGAGAGAGAGAGAGAGAGAGAGAGAGAGAGAGAGAGAGAGAGAGAGAGAGAGAGAGAGAGAGAGAGAGAGAGAGAGAGAGAGAGGAGAGGGAAGCTGAGCTGCAAGAAGAGCGATGCGTCCCAGAGGGTCATAAAGGAAGTAGTAAGGACAGAGAATGCATTCCAATGAGCCTTATTCTGGCTTTTCCTTTTTTTCCAGCCTTGATAAATTACAATCAGTCTTATCAACCCCTC